AGTTGACGTCTCCTTTGTCTTCGTATCCACGAACATAAGCTAGCTGTCAAAAGACACGACATCTACTCCCACATATCACTACATACAGACAACCATGGGCATCAATTCGGTTAGGACAATGTTCAAATATTAGACAGAGGAAACAACGAAAATGCTAGAGAAGTTTTAGAAGCTTAGCATTCCAGTGAATCATCAATCAATAGACACATCGAGATTGACAAAATTTATCAACCGATAAGAAAGAAACCTCACACACAAAGGGTCAAAGTTCAAGTCAAAGAAACAATCGGTTCCAGTACAAGTAGCTTAGAACAACGAATCACGTCCAAGGTCACCGGGAGAGATGATTAATAAACTCGTGGAGAAATCTAAAAGCTCACTTCAAATTGAAGTATGCGCTGAAGATGTCACCTAGTAGGGTGATGAAAGCTTCTCAAATTAAATATCCAGATCAGAGAACACAAGCACATCAAAACTCAGTATATTGTTAACTAATCTATTAGTCGCTCATCATCTTACGTATCTCTAGTTGTTATTGCGTAACTCCTTTATCGTTGCATGTATACATTTACTTTGTTTAAACTTGAACCCCCTGTGTAAAGGCTATACAAGCATAATTTTCTGAGCACTGGTCACTCATTTCACAAAACCTCCTGTCAAGCAACATCATGTCAAATTCGCAAGCATGTTAGAACTTTTCTGTACATAAAATTAATAATAATAATTTATTCAGGCTGTAAGCAGATGATGAGGACTATGATGAAGCCATCTTATTCTGTACAAGCCGCTACTTTTCTTGCTTTATTCAAAAAAGAGGTTTGGAAAATTTTCGTTGACCATGTGGGTTTTCGTCATTTTGTCTGAGAAATAATTATAGCCGATGGAAACTGCACCTAGACTCATATTAGCTCGGTTTCATAAATAATCTTCGTTGTATCACAATTGTTTAAGTTTTCTGTTGCATTGTTTCTTTGAAAGAGAGTGAGTTTCTGGTTTACTAGTGAGGTGTAGGTGTTGGTTGATTTGAAAATTCGCTTATCTTGGAATGATGTTAGCAAAAACAGATGATTGCTTAAATTTTCAAACTGTAAATGACAAGACCTAAATTGGCGACATCATGATGCTCAATGGTTATATGAACGATAGACAAAAATTGGAGTTGCACACTCAGAGACTGAAAAATGGAACTAAAGACCACAGATTACCTAGCATCACCAAGGAAATCTATTTGGAAGAACTGTGTGCCTCCCTGGAAGTAATGTTCAATGGAGTGTGTGTGTGCAGCCGTCTGTGTGAGGTGGAAAGACCAAGACAAGAAGTGGCTTTCTACGAACACCTGTGAGAGTCTATAGAGAAGAGAGAGAGATGGTTAAAAACAAGATGAACCAATCCAAAGGTGGATAACAAAATGAAAAGTTTAATTCAGCCCTCAAAACACTCAATGTCACAAAGTCAATGAAAGCCAATCACGATGGAAAAAGGGCCAGACAGAATTACTCAGTAAGTAGTGAAAACGCATCTAGAGATCTCAAAGGATATTTTCACCCCACTATTTGGAGGATGTGGACTTCGCCGATGATATATGTCTGATTTCCCACAAACTGGAAGATATCCAAGCGAAAAGAAATAAGTGGGCAGAAGAAGCATCAAAGGTAGGACCTCACTTCAGGTGAACATAGAGAAAACAGAGGTGATGAAGATTCCTGGGCAACACCACCAACAGCAGCAACAACAACAGACAACAATCAGCATAAATGGGAGGAACCTGAAAGAAACAACCTCTTTTACCTACCGACCTACCTGGGAAGCATCATTTCAACTACACGCGGAACTGACGAGGATATCAAAGCAAGAATCGGAAAAGCAAGACAGGCTTTCACTACTCTCAAGTCTGTGTGGAGATCAACACCATTCAGCATGGGAAATAAGATCCGGATTTTCAACTCCAATGTGTAGTCAATGCTACTCAATATACGGATCAGAGACTTGGCCAGTGCGTCATAAAGAGCATCTCAAACAAACTACAGACCTTCATTAACAGTTGTCTTTACTCAGTACTCAAGATCAGATGGTCGGCCAGAAAAGATCAGCAACAGAGATCTCTGGCAATGGACGAACTAACCTAGTTGGAACCAATTGTGCAACAAATAAGCAGGAAGAAATGGAGATGGATTGGCCATACTCTGAGGAAACCATCAAGTGACATCACTAGACAAGCCATTGCTCGAGTGGAACCCGAAAGGGAAGCGGCGAGTTGGTCGTCAGTGGAAGGGTGACTTGGAGGAGGTCATGTGAAGAGGAGATGAAAGCGTGTGGTCAGACTTGGAGCCAGGTGAAGACTGTAGCAGAGAACCGAACGCAATGGAGACGCACGGCTGAAGCCCTATGTTCCCCTAGGAATTAAAGGAAACAATAATTAATAATATAATAATTTCAGAAAGCTTGGTGACAAAGTCACCTTCTGATTGGAACAAAGGCCACCTGGTCAAAATATCAAAGGAGAGCAACTTATTCTTTAGCAAGAATTGGTGTGGAATCCTACTGCTGTCCGCGCCACCAAAATATTAAGTTTGAGAAACATTGGATTTCTAATGGTTCTCTAACTGATCTTAGCTTATTATAACGAAATCCTGTAACCAACCAGTCAAATCCCTAGAAACCGACAACTGAAATTATTAGGTCGCATCATCTTAGAGAGACTAAACCATCGTGCTAATGCACAACACTACACTTGGAAGACGCGGGATTCTTGAGAATGAAATGAAGTGCAGATCAAATTGCAGCCCTACGCATCATCATCATCTAACAGAAGATAGAATGGCAGTCAAATTTCTACATCAGTTGAGTCGACTTTGTAAAAGACTTAGACAGCGTTGATCGCCGCGTAATTTGAAAACTGCTTCTACACTATGGAGTGCAGTGTCTAGAACCTTTAGCAACCTAATTCAACAACTATTTGATGTTGCCACACATGTCAGGTGATTCAAAACGGACACCTGGTCGGAGTAAGACAAGCGTGACTACTTTCGCCAATGATATTCCTAAGTTGTACGGCACATCAAATCGTCCCAGATAACCGGTATACTTCAGGTAGACAAAGGGAAATTGTGAAGATCTGAACTTTGCGGACAATTTTTGTAAAATTTTGTGCAAACTGGAAGGGGTGAAAAAAACAGACAATTTCAAGAAGGGTCAGGTATCGAAGACAGGATTCCAAGTGCACATAGTGAAGACGGAGGTAACGAAGATACCTCACCAACAATAATTACAAGACCAATCATTATTAATGGAAGGAATTTAAAGGAGGTTAACTCTTTCATTTACCTGGACGGGAAGTATCTTTCGATCTATAGGGGGATGTCAAAGGTAGGTTCGGTAGGACAAGATGACTTCCATTAATCCGAAATCAGTCTGGAACTAATAAACTCGATAACTCATTCAACAGTGCAATTTTTCGATCGATTTATTGAGTGTGTTAGACTCAGAGTCATACAAAAACAAAGGACTAGGTGGGTCGGAAATTAAATATGCTAACAAGTTTATTGTTTTTATTTAAAAATAATTAATATGACCCGTTGTACAAGACGTGGCTCCCGTGGCCCAAGTGGTCTAATGGATAACGCTTTGGCGTTTGAAACTATGGGCACTGGGTCCGAGCCTCGGTGGGGAATGCAGGTATATCCAGCTGGCAAGTCCCAAATAGGACGAAATGTGCAACCTGGATTCCTCTGCTAGTCACCATCCATCAATTAAGATTATTGCTTGTTGATTTCTCTTGTCATTTTTCTAGTTTTGCAGTGGGTGTTAGTCAGCTGTACTCATACGGATTAGCATGCAGATACATTCAGCTGAAGAATCTCAAAATACGACGAAAATCTCCCTCTTGAAGTCACTGTTAGTCAGTATGAAATAAAACAGATCCAATCCATGAAATCTTTTCAAAAAGAAACCCAAAACAAATCGATAATTTTCAAGTATTGGTTTTGTAGGGATTTTGTTTGATTGGTTGAAGGGTTTCATAATGGGCTGACATCAGTTAGACAACCATTTGAAAACCCGCCACAGAGAGTACTGGACAGCCATCTGTTTTGTCAGTCTAGTTTGGGACTCCTAAGAGTACGCACCCACCCTGCGGGGTTCAAACCCAGGACGTTCTGGTTACAAGTCTAGTGAGGTCGTAGATCGTTAGGCGACTGGGACCCTATCCAATGGCCCATGAGCTCGCCTTGTAACGAGTAGATCCCGGTGGATGCGTACTGCTGAAGAGTCCCAAACTACACTGGGGAAACAGTTGGCTGTCCAGTACTCCCTGTGGCAGGTTTTTCAATGGTTCTCTAAATGATATCAGTTCATGATGAAATCTTTCAATTAAATCAATAATTTTAACAGATCAATTTGTATTTATTGATTATTTTCTTTTGTTTCTCTAATTTTAGCTAATTTTTCCAAGTGTTATTGAACACTAAGAAGTATTCTTCACTAGCTGAATTACCCACACACACACACACGAAATTCCAACCTCTCTTTCAAGTATATTTATGTCAGTTTAGAGAGAGAGAGAGAGAAAGTGAATAGAAAGGAGTAATGCAGTAAATTGTTTAACTAACACTTCAACAATGTATAAGTTGTACGTAAGATAAACAGAAGAAGATGATTCAGTGCATCTGCTCATTCTTCAAGTAACGGTAGCCAGTCTTATCACGTGAAACACTCTACTAATACAGCAGCTACTACTCCTACTACTACTCTCCCCCCTCCCCACTCTTTACACTTGCAGTTGCACTCCCCCACACACACACTACTATGACCATAACAATAGCTGCTACTGTGATTACACTAAGATTACCAGATTGTGATTCACTAATAATAATAATAATTAGAATAATAAACACCGCTCGCACGCACGCACGCACTCAGGCACACACACATGCACCTACGCACTTACACACACTCACACACACTTTCATCATCATTTGTTTTGTTATCATATAAAGGTTGTTACTTTACCAAGAAGACATTGGAATAAGGAATTCATTAAACACAAAGAACACATTTTCATCGGATATCTTAAACCACAGTAAAGAATCAAACCTTGTAAGTCAATTATATATAAAATTATATTGTATCTGGTTGGAGGATTCCATCATGAACTGATATCAGTTAGAGAACCTTTGAAAAACTTGCCACAGGAAGTACTGGACAGCCAGCTGTTTCGTCAGTCTAGTTTGGGACTCTTCATAGTACTCACCCACTTCGCCAAGGTTCGAACCCAGGAGCCTCTGGTTACAAGGCGAGCTTATGGGCCATTGGATTGGGTCCCAGTGGATGAATGGTCTACGAGCTCCTCTTGTAACCAGAAGGGCCTAGGTTCGGTGGACTTGTGGTGGGTGCGTACTGATGAAGAGTCAGAAACTAGAGTGACGAAACAGCTGGCTGTCCAGTACTCTCTGTAGCGGGCTTTCAAATGGTTATCTATCTGCTGTCAGCCCATGATGAAATCCTTCAACCAATCGAACAAAATCCCTACAAAACCGATACTTGAAAATTATCGATTTGTTTGTGGTTTCTTTTTGAAAAGATTCCATAGATTGGATCTCTTTTATTTCATAGTGACTAACATTGAAATCAAGAGGGAGATTTTCGTTGTATTTTGAAATTCTTCAGCTGAAAGTACCTGCATGCTAATCCGTACGAGTACAGTTGACTAGCACACGTCCGAAGGTCCACTGTAAAACTGGAAAAATGATAAAAGAAATCAACAAACATTAAACTTGTTAGCATATTTAAGATAAAATTTAACGATATGAGATGGTTTGAGGCAATCAGCAACCACCTAATAGCATCCAATCAATGTGCACGATGACGTTGAGCTACCTACAATGGTGACCACATTGCAAACCCACCCTGCCAGGATTAGAAACCCAAGACGTTCTGATTACAAGGCGAACGAGCTGTTTGACCATGAAGTCACTGAGACTTCATCCAATGGCCAGCCAGTCCATGAATTCTAACTTCTGCTAATTCACGACATAGCGCGACCACTTCGCAATGTCTTCTTCGATGAGTTACTGCCTCTCCTTTTTTATTTATCAGCGTTAATGACAAAGATATTATCAATCAGGGAAATACACAACAGGGAAGGATTTTAAGAGAAAACTATATAGAATGTTGCATTAGTCACACTGCTAAGGTATTCAATCAGACTGCGAATTAACCGACATTTTCGCTAGGCTATTCAAATAGATTAGAATTAATGTGGTCATATACTAATTCGCCCAATGATCTTTTGAATGACTGGTCAACTTGCCAATGAAAGTGAGTTTTCATATGCAATATACGAGTATTCTGAGTCAATCAGAACTCAAATAACATTTGTTCTGATGTATCTAAATACCCCTAGCAGTAACACAGCTTTTAGATATATATATATATATATGCTCAGAATTACAATTCAAGTGACGCGGCATTATGCTCCTGTCTATCCCAAGCAAAATATTAAAGCCTCATCAGTCTGGAGAGAACCAAACACGCATTGGATGAAAAACTTCGACCGAAAGAGGCTGGATTCAAGAGAAACAAGTCAAGCATCGATCATAACGCAACACTACGGATCATCATTGAACAGAGATTAGAATGGCAGTCACCTCTCTACCTCACTTAACTTCACCGACTTTCAAAAGGCTTTCAGCAGACAACGTTGATCGAGATGGGATTTGGAAACTACTTCGCTACTACCATGAGGTGCCGCCAACAATTATACACCTCATCCAACAGCTGTACGACAATTCTGCATGTCAAGTAATCCACAACGGAAAACTCACGGAATCATTCGAGGTGAAGACGGGAGTAAGACAAGTCTGGCTGGCTGGCTGGCTGCCTACTATATCCAATGATTTTCCTGATTGCAGCAGACTAGATAGTGTGACAGACACACAGTGGGCAACGAGGAAACAGGCATAAAATGTACTCACACAAAACACTTGGAGGATCTGGATTTTGCCGATGATTTTTGTCTGATTTCCTACAAACTCGAAGATATGCAAATAAAAAGCAACAAGTTGGCAGAAGAAGAATCCAGAGTAGACTGGTCTTCAGGTGGACATAGAGAAAAAAGAGGTGATGAACATTCCGTGCCAATACTGCCAACAGCAACAACAACAGACAACAATAAGCGTAAATGGGTGGAAATCTGAAAGAAGCAACCTCCATTACCTACCTGCCTAACTACCTGGGAAGTATCGTTTCAACTACAGTCGGACGTAAGTAATGAGGATATCAAAGCGAGGATCGGGAAAGCAAAATAAACTTTCACTACTCTCAAGTCTGTGTGGAGATCAATACCACTCAGCATGAGAAATAAGATCCGGATTTTCAACTCCAATGTGAATTCAGTGCTACTACACGGATCAGAGACTTGGCACCGCATCACGAAGAGCACTTCAAACAAACTATGAACGTTCATCACCTTCAGTTTTCTTTGCTCAATACTTCGCTCAAGAGCAGATGGCCGGCCAGAAATGATCAGCAACAGGGATGTCTGGGAGCGAACCAACCCAGCAGGAACCAATCGTGCAAGAAATATGAAGAAAGAAATGGAGGTGGATCGGCTATACACTGAGAAAACAAACCATCAAGTGACATCATACCCCAGGCGATCGTTCAAGTGGTGCCCTAGTGGGAAGTAGCGAGTTGGTCGTCAGTGCGAGGATGATATGGAGGAGGTCACGCGGAGAAGAGATGGAAGCATGTGAGCATGCGTCTGAAGCCCTATGTTCCTCTAGGAAATAAATGAGAAGGGAAAAGAAGGATAATTATTTTCAAAATAATTCTTTAGACAGACAGAAATGAATTACTGGACCTCTGCTTGTCAGGTACAAGCAAACCGGGAGTCATTCAACACCGATTGCAGATATCTGGGAATTTCTACCACCAACCAAGGAATAGGATACTAGATAGGTATAGGAATTGATGTCTAAGGTTGTGTGACTAACTTTGATGGAATTATGATCAATAAATTGTGCTCAAAACTTGGTCACCACATGGATGTAGTACTGTAGATTTCACTTCGTTAAAATTATCTTTGAATGATTATTTGTTTACGTCGCCAGCGGAACGTAGGGCGGCTTCAAGCTACAGCTTAGAAGTTTCGGTAGCACTGGTGTTTATTTTTACGGGATGGGGTTGCTAGCCTCATGACCAACCTTTCCTCTTTACCAGTCTTTTTAGTGGTTTAACGAGGTAGAAGAGTGCGTCAGCCGGAGATTGAACCCCGAACCACATGAGGCGTGGTTGGCAAATATTCTACCGCTGTGACATAGACGCACATAGAAGATTAAAAGCCAGAAATAATAGCATAAAATATAATTGGATGGAGGATTTCGTCGTCAGCTGACATCAGTCAGAGAACCGTTGGAAAACCAGCGGGCAGTGCTCAACAGCCAGCTGTTTCGTTCCACAAGTATGGGACTCTTCACCAGTACACACCCACCCCGCCAGGGTTCGAACACAGGACCTTCTGGTTACAAGGCTAGTGGGCTTGTAGACCATTAAGCCACTGAGACTCGATCCAGTGGCCAGTTGATGAATTCTAACCTCTGCCAATTCATGGCAGAAAATTATTATTATTGTTTCCTTTAATTCCTACAGGAACATAGGGTTTCAGCCGTGCGTCTCCATTGCGTTCGGTTCTCTGTTAGAGTCTTCTCCTGGCTCCAAGTCTGCCCACACACCTTCATCTTCTCTTCACATGACCTCCTCCAAGTCACCCTTCCACTGACGACCAACTCACCGCTTCCCATTCGGTCGGGTTCCACTCGAGCAATGGCTTGTCTAGTGATGTCACTTGATGGTTTGTTTTCTCAGAGTATGGCCAATCAATCTCCACTTCTTCCTGCCTATTTTTTCACAATCGGTTCCTGGTTGGTTCGCTCATTGCCAGAGATCTCTGTTGCTGATCTATTCTGGCCGGCCATCTGATCTTGAGTATTGAGCGAAGACAACTGTTAATGAAGGTCTGTAGTTTGCTGGAAATGCTCTTTATGACGCACTGGCCAAGTATCTGATCCATCCGTATAGTAGCACTGACTTCACATTGGAGTTGAAAATCCGGATCTTATTATCATTTTCATGCTGAGTGTTGTTGACCTCCACACAGACTTGAGAGTAATGAAAGCTTGTCTTGCTTTCCCGATTCTTGCTTTGATATCCTCGTCAGTTCCGCCTGTAGTTGAGAAGATGCTTCCCAGTTAGGTTCCTCCCATTTACGCTGGTCGTTGTCTGTTGTTTCTGTTCTTGTCCAGGAATCTTCATCACCTCTGTTTTCTCTATGTTCACCTGAAATCCTATCTTCTCTGGATGCTTCTTCTGCCAACTTGTTGCTTTTCACTTGCACATCTTCCAGTTTGTGGGAAATCAGACATATACCATCGGCGAAGTCCACATCCTCGAAGTTTTTTGTGAGTCCATTTTATGCCTGTTTCCTCATTTCCCACTGTGTGTCTGTCACACTATCTAGTCTACTGCAATCAGGAAAATCATTGGCGATAATAGGCAACCTTTTCTTACTTATAAAATGTAATGTTTATCTCTTCCAGTGTATTATATCACACATTATTTGATTTTAATGCTGAACACTTTTCAATTCATCTCCATTTTTTATTGTCCCTTTTTCTACTTTCATCACTGTACGTATACAGAGAGTATCAGACAATTGTATACATAGACAGAGGTGTATCGTGTGTGTTTTTTTCGATCGTGAAAATGACTGGACTACATCAACAGCTACAACAACAACACCACCAACACCAACTAAAACATCAAGAACAAGACGAACAACGCATACTGTTACCTGATATAGATCAGAGTAATTCAGATTGTAATGAAAATGATTATATGAATACTGGAATGTTAAGTAAAAATTATACAGAGACTAAAAAACTTCTGTTAAAGGTAGGCAACACATATTTAATAATTATAATAATAATTCTGTGCATTTTTTTATAATTAGGTCAGTATTATTATAGGTATTAAAATAATCACAACAATATTGATTACTGTTATATTCAATAATGTGTAAGTGATTCATATCAAACAATGAGATAATAACAAGTTAAATAATAAATCTATTGCCTTGATAGGACAGCTATCAAAACTGTACTAAATGAACATCCATGGATATCACCGGTGTTTGGGTAAGTTATAATTGTATCAAACATTGTTAGTTTACTCGAGTTTTATTTTGGTGTGGTTGTGTTCTCTGAGCTGGATGGTTTGGTTGCGAAGCTTTCATTGCTCTACTGAGCAACATCTTCAGCGCATACTTCGATGTGAAGTGAGCTTTTCGAATTCTCTATGAGTTTATTAGTCATCTCTTCTAGTGACCCTGAACGTGATTGGTTGTTTTTGTGTGACTTCTCACTTTCTAGTTCACTTGTTTTGGTGTTGACTGTTTCCTTGACCTGAAGTTTGACTTTGCTTTTGTGTGAATTTCTTCGTATGGATTGATATATTTTGTCAATCTCTATGTGTCTATTGATTGCTGATTCATTTGAATACCAGGCCTCTAGGAATTCTCTGGCATTTTTGCAGTTCCCTTTGTCTAAGATTTGAACATTGTCCCAGTCGAATTGGTGCCCGTGGTTGTCTGCATGTAGTGATATGAGGGAGTGTATGTCGTGTCTTTTGACAGCTAGTTTGTGTTCGTGAATGCGAAGACGAAGAGGGCGTCCACTTTGACCAATGTAATGTTTGTCGCAGTCGTTGCAACTTATCTTGTAGATGACGTTAGTTTTGTCTTCTTTTGCCGTTGAGTCCTTTGGTTTACATAGAACTGAGTGTAGTGATTTTGTTGGTTTATGAGCGACATCGATTCCAAAAGGTTTGAATAGTCTTGCAGTGATTTCGGAGATATCTTTTATATATGGTAGGACGACTTTCTTTGTGTTTTCGCTGGTGGCCTTTGATTTGGTTGGTTGAGCTGGGGGTAGATGTCTTTTGATGAAGTTTCGTGGGTATCCGTTTCTTTGGAAGACGTCCATAAGATGATTTTCTTCAATTTTCCTCAAGGCGGGAGTGCTGCAATGAGTCCTGGCTCTCTTGAACAATGTACGTATGCAGCTAATTTTGTGTGATGTTGGGTTGTCACTGTTGTAATTGAGTATTTGATCCGTGTGCGTTGGTTTTCTGTATACTTGGGTTTCTAATTTTCCTGTAGTTGTTCGTTTGATTAAGACGTCTAAAAATGGAATTTTGTTTTCATATTCTTCTTCTCTTGTGAATTTAATGTCGTTGAAGGTGTTGTTTATTATGTTGTGGGTATTGTCTAAGTTTTCTCTTTTGATTATCACGAATGTATCATCTATGTAGCGTATCCAAATTTTCGGTTTGATCTTTGGCAGAATTATGTTTTCCAGTCTTTGCATGACGGCTTCCGCAGTCAATCCTGATATGGGTGATCCCATAGGTGTCCCTTGAATTTATTCATACTCGAGTTTTAATTTCCATTTGATGTTAAACTGTAGGTGACATCTTTGTACATGAGTTGCGTACCAAATAGTGTAATTCAGTCTTATTTTGAGAAACACTTCCGTAATGCGCATACGTGCGTCGGTAGTAAAGCGGTTAGGACTCTCGCTGACCATGCACATGGTTTGGGGGTTCGATCCCCGGCCACCGACGCACTCCTTTACCTCGCTAAGCCAGAAATAATGCTGGTAAAAAGGAAAGGTTGGGCATGAGGCTAGCAGTCCCATCCTGTAAAATAAACACTGCTACAGAAACTTCAAACCACTAGCTTAAAGTCCTATGTTTCACTGAGGAACGTGAAAGAAAAAGAAAATGGGCATATATCACCCCAGTGGGTGGCAGGACAGCACATATTGATATCTACAGGTCCTCTGAGTGATGTCAATGTAGATTTTTCATTAAGTCATTTATTTCCAAGGACTAGATTATGAAGAGCCGTTTCGTCCTAGTTCGAGACTCTTCGTCGGTACGCGACAGGGACGCCACTAGGGATTGAATACAACTCTCGTTGGAAATTAAGACCCAAAGTTATTTTCCTGGTGGGATCGTGAATGATACTGCTGAAAAGCCTAAAATGGGGACAAAACAGCTGTCAAGTACTCTCTGGTTTTTAGTAGTTCTCTAACCGATGTCAATCCTAGACCAAATTTGAAATAAGTTACTTACCGACCCTCACTCCACTAAGTTGTTTGTAACTCAGTATTTTTGTTCATAACAAACCAGTTTTTCTTGTTTGGAAAAAATATTAGGATAAAAACTGTATTTTGAAATTGTTGCTTGGTAATTCATTTACCAATATACTGACTATACAGTTAAAATAGATTGAGCGAGCATCCTAACCGCTGTGCCACTGACACATTAAGTGTCCCTGAAGAGCGCCGGTTTCACGTTCACTGGCTCCCAAACCACATACCGATGAACTTAGGACTTCACCTTGTCGGTCTTCTTAGGCAGCAACACAGCCTGGATGTTAGACAGGGCAACATCCTGAGCGATGGTCACACCACCGAGCAGTTTGTTTAATTCCTCATCGTTGCGGATGGTCACTTGCAAGTGATGAGGGATGATACGGGTCTCCTTGTTGTCATGGGTGGCATTACCAGCCAATTCAAGCATTTCAGTGGCAAGTAGACGGGGAAGACCAGCATGAGCAGATCCAGTTCTTGCCTTAGCGCGAGAATTTCCAACTTTGCTGCGATCACTCATGATTGTACGTTAGGGTAGAGAAACGTGGATTACTAGTATGTTTAGAATAGGCCACAATGAACATCGGTTCATCGACTTTCAACCTCTAACCAAGTGATAATTAAACTATATCAGGCTATGAGATATGCACATGTTGTGTGTGTGTGTGTGGCCCCTAGGCAATAATATCACACATTTGCCTTCACTGAAGTGGTTGAAGCAGGAATCAAACCTGGGAACAGGTGGATGAATTTCCAGTGACAGTATTATGCAGAAAGTCATACGACTTTAACAGGTTTTTAGCAGCGAATCGGTAGGAATTCCTTGCCTAATACACATTCATGCTTATCCTGAATACAGTGGCATATTACTGAACTAGTGAGATCGGGGATGAGTACTTTCCCCCCCCCCGCTGCTTCGTCGCCGAAACCTAACATCAAAACACACACAATATCTCCTACAGTGGAATATAACTTATGTTAAAGCTTATGTAGAAGATGTGACTGATAACTTCAACGCATAAGCAACATTAATCAACAATATCTGAGAGCTACTCAGGATACTTTATGAAGATTTCTCTACTAAGTCACCGTTATCTGATGAAGTTAGTTCTATGAATTCAAGTGCCTCAAACACATGATCTTCCATCCCTTGAACATGCTCTACAGTTGAGCTCAACAGATAATTCTTCCGAATGGAGCATAAAACAGACTGGTATTAAAATTCAATAAATTCTATGAAGAATAACACTGTAACTGAACAGTTTGAGTCCAAAGGACTTCTGTAATAATTTCCAACTTATGACTGTAAGTAAATCTGACTTTCGGGAATGGATTTCAAAGATGAGGGTGCACTTATACCCTGACGTCTTCATTGTAACAACAGAATCAAACCTGATTGTCTACCGTATGTTTTCGTCATTTTTAGCTAGTATGTTTCTATGATAACGTGTAATTTGCGCCCGTTTCATATCTACCTTCCATGAGGTGTGCATATGTGCGTCGGTGGCACAGCGGTAGAATGCCCGCCAACCACGTCTCATGTGGTCCGGGGTTCCATCCCCGGCCAACAACGCACTCCTTTACCTCGCTAAACCAGTAATAGGACTGGTAAAGAGGGAAGGTTGGTCATGAGGCTAGCAACCCCAGTGCTACCGAAACTTCAGGCCTCTATCTTGAAGCTCTATGTTCCACGAGGGACGAAAATGAATGAAAGAACTTCAGTGGATGTGCCCGCATTCCCCATTGAGGCTCAAACCCAATACTTGTCGTTTCAGATGCCGAGGTGCTATCCACTAGACTCCTTGGCTCATGAAATCCACCACTTGAGGAACACTGACTGACTTGACAACAGGTTCGAACCTCACTGGAAACATGATCAAATCAAATTAGGTGTGCATATGTGATAAGTTCGACGATAAATATTCTCTGACTTCATATTTGTAATTTTTTTGCTGTTGGCCCACATTACACGCATATAAAAGAAATACATTTTCACCCAGTAAGTCGGTTTTTATCAACTCTCCAGACATGTTAGAGGAGAATGAAAGTGGTGCATATTCTTGTAGTTTCTCTACACTTTTCTATTATATTTCGACTAAGAATTCTTCAACTGTTTTACAATAATACATAAACTTTCTCTTGAAATTCGTCATCGTTGACTGTGACAGCAGGAGGTGACTATTTCTGACAACATTTTAGCGGAGACGAACAAAGACAATCTGCCATATTGATGTCTCTGTATGTTTTGTATTCGACATTCACTAGTTAGATGGGGTATGAGCAATAAGGTCAGAATACTCAAGCGCTGTACATATTTAACACTCTTAGATGAATCCAGGCAATTCGTATGAAGCCTTGAAACAAAAATTCATGCTTATCAACACTCATCATTAGGGAATATCTGTGACCTTGAAGGATTAGATGTAGTGTCACCCAGAGTTGCAGTTAGGAAAGTTAACAATGGGCTATTATTATTGTTATTCCCTTGGGTTCCGAGTGGAACACAGGGAGGGCTTCAACAACACATCTATACTTTGTTCTGTTTTCTGCCGTCCTCTTCAGCTGGGACCACGATTGACAATAATCTCTCATCTCCTTCTCGCCACACGATCTCCTCCATGTCACCCTCACACTGACCACCAACTTATCGCTTCCCATTTGGACAGCACTCGAGCGATCGCCTGGAGTGCGATGTTATTCGATTGTTTCCTCACTGTATGGGTGATCAATCCATCGCCATTTTCTCATACATATTTGTTGAGCGATCGGCTGTTGCTTGTTGCATCGTTCCAACAGTTTCTTGTTATTTACTCTTTCTGGTCGGCCTGCCATTTGAACTTCAGTATGGAGCCAGTCATCGAAGTTGGCAGCTGTTGATGAAATTTCGCAACCTTCTGGAAATTCTCTTCGTGACTGACACACAGTACAAGTTTCTGACCCGTATAGAAGGACCAACTTCATATTGGTGTTTGAAATGCAAATCTTGTTCCTTATGCTGACTGAGTGTAGAAGATTTCCAAACTGGTTTCAGGTTGATGAAGACGTATCACATCGTATTAAGATATCTTATAGTAAACAATCAAAAAAATACGCTGCAACTAAGACAGTAAATTCTCTTCAATGTTAAACCGATCACTGTTGTTACAGGGACTTATGTCTTGAATACCTCTCACCTTCTGTCTCTCTCACGCTTACACACGCACAAGACTGATCTCTCGGTCGAGTTCAGATTACATTTCAAATCAATCTAAAATCCTGTTTTAAAATATAAATCAATATCAGATTGTCATTTATTATTGATTTATTGAATTTATTTGATTGATGCATGTATATATCACATATTTTATCATTATCATTATTTTTCAAGTATACAGGCTTTACTTTTCGGTGGACTACTCTTCTTTGTACCGAATTCATTGACCAGTAAACCATGGAATTATATTCTCCTCTCATTGATTGTGAGTACTATTATCTTTGTCACTATTACTATTATTATTATTATTATTACTACTGTTATTATTCCAAGAGAGTGATGCTCTAGTCCACGGAATATTTAGATATCGACAGGATTTGAAATGGCCGCTGCTGGATCATTGAGAGTTTCATGAATTGCTAATTGATCACCAGTTCATCATATTACTGCATTCATCATCACTAGTGACGCCAAGATGGCGGGTAAATGAATGATATATTAGTAAAAAATTATATTTGTAAAATCTCAGCAAGATTGAAATGAGTAATTCCAACGTTTCCTGTGTTCGGCAATCTGGTCGGTCGGAACTTCTTCAGGGAAATTAATCGAAATTTACACTACAGAACAGAGGTTTATATATAAAAGGGACATCACTTGTTTTCAAAAACTTTGTCCAATCATGAGTCATTCAACAAGCATAATAAACAAAATTTTATGAGCTGTGATCAAAATTTGACACCGGACTTACAAATATTGGTCTACCTTTGTTAAACACTTTAAACAGAGTGTATATGTGTATGTGGGTAAACAGTTGTAGAACATTTCTTAACGTTTCCATAAGAAGATATGGACAGTCGAGAATTTTGACCAAGTATTAATAATTAGTGATACATATCCATTTTTTACTTATTAATAAGGATTTCCTATGCATCAGCTAACATCACACCTTCATGTCCGTTCAAACTGTTAGTATCTAGAATTTTATGATTAGACGTATTTTCAAAATTATGGACAGACATGATGGTGTGATGTTAGCTGATGCTCAGGAAATCCTTATTAATAAATAAAAAATGGATATGTATCACTAATTATTAATACTTGGTCAAAATTCTCGACTGTCCATATCTTCTTATGGAAACGTTAAGAAATGTTTTACAACTATTTACCCACACACATATATACACTCTGTTTAAAGTGTTTAACAAAGGTAGACCAATATTTGTAAGTCTGGGGTCAAATTTTGATCACAGCTCATAAAATTTTGTTTATTATGCTTGTTGAATGACTCATGATTGGACAAAATTTTTAAAAACAAGTGATGTTCCTTTTATATATAAACCTCTGTTCTGTAATGTTAATTTCAATTAATTTCCCTGAAGAAGTTCCGACCGACCAGATTACCCAACACAGGAAACGTTGGAATTACTCATTTCAATCTCGCTGAAATTTTTCAAAGATTTCATCTTCAAACACACAAAACTGACTTTAGCTTTCTTATTCTCTTAATCATCATCATGCGATATAGGAGTCATTTTATCAGCTAAAATTTCATGGCTCAAGAGACTTCTATTTTAAGGAAAACGAAGTATGCGATGTTTTTCTTATCATGTGACATCAAAAATACCTGCCAATATTGTCTTTCAAGTGTGTCCCCCACATGACGACAGTGTCTTACTTACATACCGTAGATGTAATATCATCCAGACTCACATATTGACTAATCATTGATTTTTGATGACTCACTGATTGATTCAGTTAATCAAGATTTGTCGGAATAGTTTCAAAATAATTGGGCGCTGAGTGACAAGTACACATTCGTAAAAACTATATGTGTAAAATCTCAGCGAAATTGAAATAACTAATTCCAACGTTTCTTGCGTTCGACAATCTGGTTAGAAATTCTTCAGGGGAATTAATCGAAATTAGCATAACAGAGGTTTATATATAAAAATGACATCTCTCGTTTTTTTAAAAAACTTTGTGCAATCATATTGTAACAACAGAAGACAAGGGTCAGGCAACTGATCGTTTATTAGGGAAATCAAAGCATATTTATATACTTTCATGTACATTATTATAGATTAGTTAAGCACACAAACACAGTCCTCTGATTGGTTGTTCCTCACTTAAAGTTAATCTTTCATCTCTTTGTGACTGTTTCTTGAATGTCAGATCATCTATATGTTAACTGTATCCACCTACGCGAAGTCTGTTGTGGTTGGTTGATGAATCAGTCTTTGTTCATATTTTCTCACGACCAATCTTGAGAACGTAAACATTGACGTAAACTACCCATTTAGCTAGCAGCCAGCTCTCACCACAATATGAGTCATGAAACAATCATCATCAGCTCCCATCAGCTAGAGAACCACTGGAAAACCTGCATGGGAGTACTGTACAGACAGCTGTTTCGTCAGTCTAGTTTTGGACTCTTCACAGTACGCACCAGCTCCACTAGGGTTCAAACACAGGAACCTCTGGCTACAATGTGACGAGCTATCTCGTAGACTATTGAGACACTAGGACCTGATCCAAAGGCCAGTTCATGGATTCCAACTTCTGACAATTCAAGACATAGCGTGACCACTTCGAAATATCTTCTTCGATAAGTTACTGCCTCACCTCCAACCTGCTGCACCTTACTGGTTTACGAGCTCACCTTGTAACCAGGAGGTCCTGGGTTCGAACCTCAATCGGAGGGTGCGTACTGCAGAGGAGTCCCAAACTAGGCTGGCGAAACAACTGTCGATGATCAGCAAAGCTTCTGTGATTGACTTATCTCCTACTCCACCTAACTATATTACCTTTTAATACTCTCACCCTGTCTCCCACCCAACTTATTGTATGATTACATGCAAGTGAATGCAATGCAACGACTGAGCTTGTTTCTAGGTTATTTAGCTTAGCAGGGTCAACCATTCGAGGTCTAGCTAGCTAAATTTTAATGTTCCAATAATTCAGTTGATCCCGATCTACTAGTTTGACCAATGTAATTAACCTCATCTACTGTCATTACATGCTATTTGATAGATTATATTAGTTTGCTTAATTGGGTCTATTGGGTTCTTAAGCCGAAAAAGTTTATCTCTGAGTGAGTTGGTTGGTTGGGTGGTTGGTTTAAATGCCACCCTAATTCCAGCGTCATTAAGAATTCTACGTAAGGTCTCTGATGTTCCTACTTTATATGGTAGTGTAACAGAGACTTTGAATTCTATATTATTTTCGTTATTTTCGTAACTTTTATTGCTAATCTTAGTTTTTCTGTGGTTCTTCATACATTTCTGAATAAATCCTAGTGGGTTGTGTGTTATCCACTAGCAAAATTTCCTTTATTTCTTCGATTTCATTATTTAAATCTTCTGGCTTACTAATTAGGTTCCTGGCGCGGTTATACAGACATTTAACTAAACCTGTCTTCCTTTACGGATTCTAGATAGGATGAATTAAAGTCTAGTCTAAGTGTTTGTTAGAGCGTGTCGGTTTCCTTTAAATGCTGGTGTCTAACCGCCCACCATCTTGTTTGTTTGCGTTTTATTCTCCACTTTAGCATAGCCAACTCACCCTGTTCGTTTTCTAACTCAGAAGTGAATTTTATCCCGTCTACTATTGAGTTTTTCAGTGTGAGAAATTGAGGGATATGTTCAGATTTGAACACATTGAACGTATATGAACATCCACATATCTCCACCACAACCAAGGAGCAGGGTTAAACATTCTAAGAGCTTTACGTTCCCAACTATCCACAAATATGTCTGCTAATGTTGGGGATCCACAATGGTGATCTCATTGCCACCTTATTCGTTTGTTTACATAGTTTATTTTGAAATTTGAATACAGTGGAGGTTAGACACAACGCCCATACGGGAGATATAGAAAGTGGCAACAAACAACAAAGGGAAGTTGGAGGGAGAGGCTGAAAGAGAGAAGAAATATGCACCAAAGACAAATTGTGAAAACTTGTTACTAAACTGATATGAATATGACTATATTTATTTTACTATTATTCCCTTGCTTTCCGCGTGGAACATAAGGAGGGCTTCAATAACACATCTCCACTTTGTTCTCCTTTCTGCCGTCCTCTTCAGCTGGTACGGCGACTCACCATAATCTCTAATCTCCTCTTCCAACTCGCCACACAATCTCCTCCATGTCACCCCCACACCAACGACCAACTTATCGCTTCCCATTTGGACACCACTCGAGCGATCGCCTGGAGTGCGATGTTATTCGATTGTTTCCTCACTGTATGGGTGATCAATCCATCGCCATTTTCTCATACACATTTGTTGAGCGATCGACTCTTGCTTGTTGGTTTGTTCCCACATTTACTTGTTGCTTATTCTCTCTGGCCAGCTGGTCATTTGACCTTCAGTATGGAGCCAGTCAGTGAAGTAGGCAGCTGTTGATGAAAGTTCACAACCTGTTGGAAATGCTTTTCGTGACTGACACACAGTGCAAGTTTCTGACCTGTATAGAAGAACCAACCTGATATTGGTGTTGAAAATGAGAATCTCACTCATTATGATAAGTGATTGCAGAAGATTCCCAAACTGGTTTCAAGTTGATGAAGGCATATCTTGCCTTTCCGATTCCGACTTTGACATCTTCATCCATTCCAACTGCCTGTAGTTGAAACGATGCTTCCTGGCCAGATAAGTGAAGGAAGGAAGTAATCTTTGTTAAATCTCTCCCACTGATGGTGATTGATGCTGGTTGTTGTTGCTGTTGGTAGTGGTTGGCTGTCTTCACTACCTCCGGCTTCTCCATGTTCACCTGCAGTCAAATCTCCGCTGCACCTTCATCCAGTTTGTTGGTTTTCGCCTGCCCGTAAGTCTTCCAGTTTGTGTGACATTAGACATATATCATCGACATATGAAATCGAGATCTTCTAGAGTCTTCCTATCGGTGATCCGGCATATTCCTGTCTCCTCCCTTCCTGTGCACAGTCTGACGCATAATCCAGTCCACCACAATTAGGATATCATCGATGATAATATGCAGCTAGTCTGGCCTTACTCCTGTATTCACTTCAAACACCTCTCTGAGTTTTCTGTTGTGGATCACCTGACAGGTCGCAGGCATTGTCACATAGCCAACACTTAAAGAGGTTGATAAAGACTTAAAGCACTGCATGCCGTAGTGTTGAAGTAGTTTCCAAATTACTTCTCTGTCTATGCTGTCTGGTGCGGGCCTTTTCGAAGTCGATGAAGTTGAGGTAGAGTAGGAGTTGACTGCCATTCTATGCTTTGCTCTGTGATGACGATGCGTTGGGTTGCAGTTCGATCAGAACATGATTTGGCTGGCGGACTTCTGTATCCAGTGTATCCTTTATTCTCTCCGGGATGATGAGACTCAGTATTCTCCTTGGTGTGGATAAGAGTATTATTCCCCGCCAGTCAGTTCTTGCCCAGGCCTAAGTCACCCTTCTTTGGCAGTTTGACAAGGTGACCAGCCTTTCTTCCAATCAGTAGGCACTTTTCCTTCTTTCCAAACATTCTGCAGTAATGGAGTGAGAACATCTGCCGTAATCTCTGGGGCCGTCTTCAGTGCTTCGGGAGGGATGCCGTCTAGTCCTGCTGCCTTCCCAACTGGACTTCAGTAGTTTGATCGCATTCAGGATTTCTTCTTTCGTTGCAGGAGTGGTGTCCACTGGCAGGCATTTTTGTGTGTGCTGTTGGCGGTATTTCTGGGTGAGCTGCCGGTGGCGGTCGATTCAAGAATGTCAATAGTTTATGCTTGAAACCTTGCCATCCAGTTGTTAATACTACTTATCACTGTGTGTGATTATTAAAATAAACTTATCTAATATGAAAATGAAATTAATTCACTAATACTGTAACTCTTTCACTTCTTTTGAGAAAATGACCTACAATAAACTTGCCTCATTCTCTTTTATTATTTTCTCGATAGGCACTGACGTCTGGTATTGTAATATCAACATTTGCCATTCTTCCATCAACTACCTGGTCAATGTTATCCTGGATTATCGCCAGTATCCTGTTCGGTGTATTCTTCATTGCTGGTTTAAAGCTACAATTTGATTTAACAAGATACTGGCATTTAATTATTATTTACGCATTGATAATGATGTGTTTAGGCTTTATCATATCAGTACTGTTAAATGAACTGAAGACAGGTCAAGTAAGTTATATATGTATAAACCAAGTTCACTTTTAACAGTTTGAAACAATGTGGGCATTGGGTATATGATATTCATTATTTTGTTATTTTTTTTATTATTGTTCCCTTGCATTCCTTGTGGAACATAGGGCTTCAACTGCACGTCTTCTGCTGTACTTTTCACCTGCATCCATGTTAGTCCATACTGTTTCAGCTCTTCTTCACACGATCTCCTCCATGTCACCCTTGGACGTCCCACTACTCGCCGCTTCCCTTTCGGGTTCCACTCCAGCATTGGCCTGACGCGCGATGTCACCCAACGGCCTCCTCAGCAAGTGTCCAATCCATCTCCATTTTCTCCTGCATATTTGTTGAGCGATTGGTTCTTGTTTTGTTTGTTCCCATAGTTTCTTGTTGGTTCTTCTTCTTTCCGGCGGCCATCTGATCTTCAGTATAGAACGAAGACAGTTGTTGATAAAGGTCTGCAACAGGCTGTTGGAAATATTCTTTGTGACACACTGGCCAAGTTTCTGATCCGTATAGAAGAACTGACTTATTTATTTTTTATTTTTTATTACAGCTGGATTCCACACCTTATTTTCAGTACAAGTATGGAATTTTCAGCGTGGATATCTGTAGCCCAAATTTACAGGCCGACCATAGATATCGGGTGTGCGCCGGCAGGGGATCACACCCCGAACCATGTGCATGGTCGGTGAGAGTCCTAACCACTGTGCCACCGACTTGACGTTTGTATTGAAAATCCGAATTTTGTTGTTGATGCTGAGTGACGAAGATTTCCAGATTGGTTTCAGGTTGATGAATGTGTTTCTCGCCTTCCCGATTCCCGATTTGACACCCTCGTCCGTTCCTCCTGTAGTTGAGATAATGCTCCCTAGATAGGTTAAAGAAGTAACCTCTTTCAAATCCCTCCCGTTGATGGTGACTGACGGTGGATGTTGCTGTTGTTGTTGATGGTTATTTTCATAACCTCCGTCTTGTCTATGTTCACCTGCAGTCCTTTCTTTGCTGCTTCTTCGACCAGTTTGTCGGTTTTCACTTGTAAGTCTTCGATTTTGTGTGACATCAGACATAAGGCATCCACGCGCGAAATCCAGGTCTTCTAGGTTCTTCACGTCGGTCAGGTTAGGATATCCCTATCTTCTCGTTTCCCACTGTCTGATGCGTAATCCAGTCCACCACAATTAGGAATATCATTGGTAATAATAAGCACCCTTGTCTGACTCCTGTGTTTACTCCAAACGCTTCGCTGAGTTTCCCGTTGTGGGTTACTTGACATGTACTGTTGTCGTACAGCTGTTGAATAAGGTTGATGAATATTTGGGGTACGCCGTAGTACTTGAGTAGTTTCCAAATTACTTCGCGGTCAACGCTGTCGAAGGCCTTCTCAAAGTCTATAAAGTTGAGGTAGAGATTTGATTGCCATTCCATGCTTTGTTCGATGATGATGCGTAGAGTTTCAATTTGATCAGCCCATGATTTGCCTTTCCTGACTCCAGCTTGTTCGGGGCTGGCAGAGTTCTGTATCCAGCGCATCCTTTATTCTCTCCAAGATGATAAGACTCAGGATTTTACTTGGCGTCAACAGGAGCATGATTCCTCGCTAGTTCTTGCAGAGTCCTAAGTGGCCTTTCTTTGGTAGTTTCACGAGGTAACCTCTCCTCCAGTCAGTAGGCACCTTTCCCTCCTTCCAGACCTTTTGCAATAATGGAGTCAGCATTATAATATATTCATTATAATAAAGGTTTTTGTATTGCTCAATGAATGACAAAAGCAAAACGATATTGTTGTGTTTACTGACGTTTCGCTATTTAATACTAATAGCCTTATCAAAGTAGTAATATTAAACCAGAATTTACAAAATCTTAGCATATCTATATATATGTATAACAACTTAATCATCGGAGGCAGTATCAGCCGTCGGTGTACTTCCATTTCTAGACTGCCTGCCTAGTTAAGAGGAGGGAAAACGGACATTTTAGTACATCCATATTCAGGAAGAAAACCCACTCCAACAAAGATTTCGACTTCGGATCATCACAACCCACCAGTGCAAAGGTATCAGTTGTTTCAAGTCTTCTTCGACGAGCACACTGCCTGATTGATAACGGATGAGAAAGAGAAAGAAGAAGAAATATCAGACATTACTGAAACTCTCAAGCAAAACAACTACCCAAAGAACTTCATCAACATAATCAACACTGACATTATGTCTGGTCGAAAACGTATTCCGAAAACAGGGGCCTCAACAGTCATCATTCCACATAGAGCAGAGACATCATACGATATCAGAAGAGTACTGAATCAGCTGGACATCAGAGTTTTCTTCAAAACATCAGACACGCACACTACAAAGCAACATTGTCCATATAAAAGACCAAATCCCTAAAGATTCTCTATCTAATTGTGTCTATTAAATAAAATGCCTGCTTGGAATGTGATGCGATGTACATCGGACAAATATCGACAGAGAGAAATCCAAAATCAGAAGAAATGAACACCGTAGAGCTGTATCTGTTCGACCACCGAGAAATCCAGTTGAACTAGACAAGCTTGAAAAATCATCAGCCAGCCATACCTAGTCTACACACTATAGAATCAGATCAGGCCGAAAAATTGATTCTGACAATATTGAAATCATCATCCAGAAGAATTTCAGAAATCACAAAGAACGTCTCATTTCATCAGAAGCACTTCATCTCAAATGGAATCCAAATTGTCTGAATAGGAATGATGGACTAAAACAGAATCTGACCTGGTTACAGCACCTCCCTCCCCATGAGGTGACAAAATCAAGACGGATGTGATAATCAATTTCATTATGTAAACACATGCTGCTTTTACAATTTTACACACTTATTAAATCGAACAATCTACACCTGGTTTTGTAATCTTTACCAATTGGCCTATTTCACAACGCAAAAATACCCCCATACTAAGGAACGATGATTAAGTTGTTAAATATAAGCCGAGATTTTGTAAATTCTGCTTTATTATTACTACTTTCATAAAGCTATTAGCAGCATTGAATGGCGAAACTTCAGTAAACACAACAATATGGATAATGAAGGTCAAATAAGTTCTTAAAGACAATTGTATAATAGCAGTTGTTGTTTTAGAAGTGTGGTGTACGCTACGGATACAAATCTGTAGGTGGCATAACAATGACGTCTTCTGTAAGAATATTGAATAGTGCAGCGTAGGATTAAGTTGGAAAGACGAGAAACGAAGACACAGAAGTAGATTACAAATACAATCATTTCCACTTCCCTTTGCAACTTTATCCATCATTCTATGTTTGGAGATTCTTTCAGAAGTCGTCACCAATATACTACTTTCATATCCCAATCAATAGTACACGCCGTAGTAGTATTATTTGAGAAATATTCAGTTTTATTCAAAAGGAACTGTATCAAACTGTTAAGATGAAAGTATATTTTATGCATTTCTGATACCTAAGATAGAGTGAGAACATGCATCTACCTTCTGAACCAGCAGTGGAGTTAGATATTGTTGTTCACTCTCACAGTTTCTCTTAAGTTTTGCCGTTCGTGACATCCTGGAGATAGCTCTTAGAGTTTTGTCTAGTTGTAGTGGAGAGAGCAAACGATATAGTTTTGCAGAAAGATTACCCAAATCGTAATTAATTACTTGACGATTAGTGCCTGTATTTATGGCATAAACTATAGACAAAGTAAGATTGTTACAAGCCTATAACCAAACTCATTGTCTTAGTTGAACCATCAGAACAAGGGTCGACAAATTCAAATATTTGGGTAGTTGTGTGGTCTCTGGTGTGGGTGAAACATATGATATTCCCAGTTGAATATTGAAAGCCAGGGCCATCACTGTTGGCGTCGTGACGTTAATCTAGTCCTGAAAAGTCCGGCTGATGACACTTCGGAGTCTTGTGAAATCTGTCTTTGCCGAGCTGAGAATTTTGGATCACTCTACGTGATTGTCCATAGCTGTTTCTGTTGTACTGCTTGTATTGTTATCACCGTACGAGTATTTCTGATATGCAGCGGTGTATGTTTTAATCTTATGGAGGTCATCTTTCACTTATTGATGTTATCTCTGATAGTGGATTCGATGACACGGATATATGCTTTGAATGTCATCTCATTTTCTTCCATAAAGACTGAACATTGTTTATTACCCCTAGGTGGGATCTCAAAGATTATCCAGTTTTGTTTTTCAAAAAGTTATCAGATATGCCTGAAAATAGAAATCAATGGTGAGTGTACTGCGATTTCCACCATTCTTCTCTTCCGAAAAGTTAAATGAACGTTGCTTTCAATATTCGCATGTTTTCATGATGCCGTTCATCACTTATTCTATCTCTCTATTCCCTGTACTGTCGTCTTATTACTTTTGTGTGGTGGGATTCTTGGTACCCATATTTTACTCGGTTCTTGTCTCAGATAGTAAAATAATTTTTTTCCAACTTTAATATCCAATATTAATGCTTTTGCTAACTAGAATTCCTTAGATAAAGCAATAAGGAGACGTAATTTGTCTGAATCAGGTAATCTTGTATTTGCACAACACATTTCCAACAATCTGATCCAGCAAACACGGACTTGACACAGGAATATACATGAAATTAATAAAGAGTGAGTTAAGAGGTGAGAAAATAGATTTAGGTCAAGTTAAAAGGACGTATTGAAGGTCCAAATAGCAATCAAGATCACTAAACCAAATGAGAGAGGTAATAGTACATCTGACCAGGCTGGTATCAAAACAAAGTTTACCGAGGAAGGTTTAATGTGATGATGAATTGTTGCTTTAAACGCATAAATAAGGTTTAAACTTCCTGATTGCTAGCTAGGGCTTCTACAGTCTTTAAGATACGTGTTCGAGGCGCATTTTAAATAATTTATAATAATTCAATCTGACTCGATGCTCAAATTATTCCAGTAAATTGGTAACATCTACGATCTGGAAACTTTAGAATATTCTTCGTTTACTAGTCAGTCTTTTAAAACTTGATTATCTTCAAGTTTTATATGAATATCTCCCATTTAATTGTGATATTTGACGAAGTGTCGGCTTAATCATTACAACACAGAAAGGTTGGAATTAAAAGTGGCCACCTCTGTGTCTATTTGAATTATTTATTTTTTATTATTCAATAACACATCTACACTTTGTCCTATTCTCCACTGTCCTCTTCAGTTGGGTTCACCATTACCCATAATCTCTTGTCTCCTCCTCCATGTCACCCTCGCACCGACCACCCACTTACTGCTTTCCATTTGGATTCCACTCGAGAGATGGCCTTCATTTTGCGTGATGTCATTCGACAGGCTCATAAGTGTGTGCCCTCTCCATCTCCATTTTCTCCTACATGCTTGTTGAGCGATCGGCTCTTGGTTGGTTTGTTCTCACAGTTTCTTATTACTAATTCTTTCTGGCTTGCTATTTGATCATCACTATAGAGCCAGTCAGCAAAGTTGGCAGTTGTTGAAGAAAGTCTGCAGCAAGCTGTTGGAAATCCTTTTCGTGACTGACACGCAGTGCAAGTTTCTGACCCGTATAGAAAGACCGACTTGACATTTGTGTTGAAAAAGAGAATCTTGTTCTTTATGCTTACTGAGTGCAGAAGATTTCCAAACTGGTTTCAGGTTGATGAAGGCGTATCTTGCCTTTCCCATTCTTACTCTGACATCTTCATCCGTTCCAGCTACCCGTGGTTGAAACGATGCTCCCTGGCCAGATAAGTGAAGGAAGGAAATAACCTCTGTCAAATCTCTCCCACTGATAGTGATTGGTGCTCGTTGTTGTTTTTGCTGTTGTTGATGTTGGTTGGCTATCTTCACCACCTCCGTCTTCTCCATGTTCACCTAGAGCCCTGTCTTCAATGGCTGCTTCTTCATCCAGTTTGTTGGTTTTTGCTTGCCCATAAGTCTTCGAGTTTGTGTGACAGTAGACATATATCATCCACATACGAAATCGAGATATTCTAGAGTCTTCCTATCGATGGTCCAACGTATCCCTGTCCTCCCACTCCCTGTGCACAGTTTGACGCGTAATCTGGTCGGTCGGTCGGTCGGTTTTCGACATAGAACTTTGCACATATGTGCACCAGTTCAAGTCACCACACTCCCTCCTTGTATCACACAAAGCAAGAGAAGAAAGTAGGAGAAATGCATAATACAGACAGTAAACAGAGGTGTGAGACAAAGGAATAGTAATAACGGAGAACAAAACAGTTTAAGTGGAAATCATAAGTCACAAGGAGTGGATGCATCTGCGCCAGCCATTGAGAACGATTTTGAGCCATGTCACCAATTGTTTCCAACCATTGGTTTTTACCGTCCTGAGGACCCCAACCAGTCAAGAAGTCTACATCTTCCTACGTGGCTTACACTAACTGTTGTAGATTTCATTGAATGGTGCCATGTTTTCGTTTGACCGCTGCTAGCTCTTTTCCAGCCTGGCCCTATATCAGCTAACATTGCCGGGCTAGGAAGGCGATGTTTGGCATAATCTGGTCCACCACAATCACGAATATCATCGGTGATAATCGACAGACAACCTCGCTTTACTCCTGTCTCCTCTTCAAACACCGCTCTGGGTTTTCCGGTTGTGGATCACCTGACACGTCGCAGGCATTGTCATACACCCAAAAGTTGAATAAGGTTCATAAAGACTTGAGTATTGCACGCCGTAGTCTTGAACATAATTTACAATACAATACATTAAACTTAACACTGAACACGTATCTTATCCAATTTCATCATAATCACACTCAACAGACACCGTTCATTGATTTTTTCTGCTTCTTAAAAGTCCACACTAATAATAAAATGTGTATTTACCTTTCTCAATCAATATTTTAGGTAGCTAATCATATACTTGGCGCAATTTACGTTCTTATATCTATTCCTGTAAGTTGTCTGAAATTCCATTTTATTGTTATGAAAAAAAAGTAAAAAAAATGAATGTGAACTAATCGATCCAACTATTTCTATGCCATATTATGGTTGGAATGTTGTTGAAACAAAGCTTGGTTACTTTCCTACTCAAGAATATATATATATATATCGTTTAATACACAGAGTTAGTGTTATTAATTACAAGTGTTATGAAAACAAAATTGTTTATTTTAGTAAAGCAATCTACAGTGTATTTACAGAAATTACACGCGATCAGTATTTATTACTTATGTTTATCTCAGGCATACAATTAATTGTCTAAATGATTTAAATACCATGTATACAATTCATGCATAAAGGAAATCAATACTTAAAGCAATAATATAATTCGCTGTATATATATATATATATATATATATATATATATATATATATATATATATATAACAAGAATAAACACGTATTTATTGATTATATACTTTGTATATGTGTACATACCACACTGATTTAAACGACTAGACATGTAATCAACCATCTTGTTGAATTGAGTATCGATTTGTAACTAGACTATCATTTGTAAAAATTATATATTTTCTAAAGTTTGGATTGTAAGGGTTTGTTATGTTCTTTTTTTTACGAGTTGATCACGGACTGATATCAGTTAGAGAACCATTGAAAACCAGCACTGGAGTACTGGACAGCTGCTGTTTCATCCTAGTTTTGGGAATCATCGGCAGTACGCACCTACTGGGATTCGAACCCAGGACCTTCCGGTTGCAAGGCGAGCTCGTAAACCAGTAAGGTGCAGCAGGTTGAAGGTGAGGCAGTAACTCATCGAAGAAGACATTGCGAAGTGGTCGCGCTATGTCGTGAATCAGCAGAAGTTAGAATTCATGGACTGGCTGGCTATTGGATCAGGTCCCAGTGACTTAATGGTTAAAGAGCACGTTCGCATTGTAACCAGAAGGTCTTGGGTTCAAACCCTAGCGGGGTGGGTGCATACGGCTGAAGCGTCCAAAACGAGGAGGAAACAGTAGGATCTCCAGTACTCCCATCTGGTTTTTCAATGGCTCTCTAACCGATGTCAGCTGATGATGAAATCCCCCAACCAGTCATACAATTTTGTTGATTACATTTTGATTACTGTTTCATAACTCATATGATTCGGCAAAGTTTTTAAAACAACAAGAAATGTCCTCTTTATATATAAATCTCTATTATATTAATTTCGATTAATTTCCCTGAAGAAGTTCGAACCAGATTGTCGAATGCGCAAGAAACGTAGGAATTACTTATTTCAATTTCTCTGAGATTTTATAAATATAATTTTTGCAAATATCTACTTGTCACTCGGCGCCCAATTATTATTTTGGAACTATTCTGTCAAATCTTGACCACAGTTCATAAGAATAGGCTATCATTTGTTCTGAAGTCCTCTACTAAGGAATAATTATTGTAACAAAACATTTAGAGTGAACCACTGTTGTTTTCAGTTAATTCTTCTTCAAGCTGCTCTACAATTATAAATCCATTTATATAAGCATACAATAGCCAGCCAGTAAAAAGCAATTCCTCTTTGTAACTTTGGTTAAAAATCCATATCCACCTTGATTTTAGCATAAATGAAATCGATACTGGCACTAGTCGAATATTGATAAAGTTTGCACCTGATCGTAAAAGATGAAATTATTGCCTACTGTTTTGAAATGATAGAAACAATGAGCTGTTTGAGGACTTTTCAGCAGTACACACCTATGATCCCAGTGGATATCGAATTGTGCATCTCCAGGTTACTACATGAGCCTGTTCAGCCCATATACTAACATTTGGAAACCAAGTGCTCACTGTCAGCTTGCTACGAGATGAAGTCCTTGAGGTTCTAGTGAAGTAGCCTACATCAAGTGCAACGATTGATCTTCGCTGATGATAATTGGTCTTGATTGCGCTATATACAAGGAAATGACAGGAGTTAGAGTTTATGGTCCAGTAGATTCTGTCCTAGAGCCTGGATGGTTTATCCTCATAATCTGAAGGTTGTGAGTTTGATCCGTAGTGTGGTCATAGATGTGTACTGCCCACGAATCTCCAACTGGGGTGAAACAAACGTTTAGTACTGCCTGCTTTTCACTGGTTCCCTAACAGATGTCACTTCGTGATGGAACTTGCAATCAAGCAAATTAATGTAATTTTCAACAGTTGGTTTGCCAAGATTAGATTTGTTTTTCGAGTTCAACCATGGATTGATATCAGTTAGACAACCATTGAAAACCAGCCAGGGAGTACTGGACAGCCAGCTGTTTCATCCTAGTTTCGGAATCATCGGCAGCACGTTACAAGGCAAGCTGGCTGGTATACCATTCAGCCACTGGAACTCGACTCCTCAATGACCAGTCCATGAATTCTAACTTCTACCAATTCGTGATTTAGCGCGACCACCGGAAGGTCATGAGTTCGAACCCTGGTGGTAGGTGAGTACTGCCGATGATTCCCAAACTAGGCTGACGAAACAGCTGTCCATTACTCCAGAGCTGGTTTTCAATGGTTCTTCAACTGATAGCAATCCGTGATCGAACATGTAAAAACAAATTAGTGTAAGCTAATCCTTTAAAACAAATGACTCATACTGAGTAGAAACTCATACACGGCGAATGCTAAAATCTTTTCCATTGATTATAATATCTTCATATCATCTCAGATATAAAATATACTTTCACATCCAATGTATTTTATTTGTACTATGTTTCAGTGTATTATCTGTGAAGGTCAAATGATGCAAGGCGGGAAATGTATTGTATTTAAAAGAAAACAATTTGTATTAGCATGTTTAATGTGTTGGTTTACGCTGATCTGTACATATTTTGGAGTGTTGTTTCAACTATCAGACTATAATTTCTTTGTATCATATATCTCTAACACATAATAATAATAATAATAATCCGATAAATACATATATATGCTGATAAGCACCCAGATTTCAGTAGTACTTACAATAAATATTGATATATATTCACACTTTTGGGATATTTTTATCACACTTATAGAGATGATCTGTGTGTCGACTTTCATCTGATACTGGCAGATGAATGCGTTAATGACTTATAGGCTAAAATACATTCTGAATAAATCAACTTCTCGTGATGCATTAAGTCACTAACTTACCGGTTGACAAATCCACATACTACTTCTCATAGAAATGTAACATATGTTGAATTAGCACACAAAAACGTGAGACAAAAGAAGTCGAATGATACTGCAGTCAGTATTCAATGTTCCACGAAGGAGAGGGAGAGAGAGGGAAAGTAACTAAATCAATATTATTGATAATGCTCATCACTCTGATGCAGACTGTATACATTTACGTTCATCGTTATTATTATTGTTTCCTTTAATTCCTAGAGGAACATAGGGCTTCAGCCGTGCGTCTCCATTGCGTTCGATTCTTTGCTAGAGTCTTCACCTGGCTCCATGTCTGCCCACACGTTTTCATCTCCTCATCACATGACCTCCTCCAAGTCACCCCACCGTCGCACTGACGACCAAGTCGCCGCCGCTTCCCTTTTGGGTTCCACTCGAGCAATGGCTTGTCTAGTGATGTCACTTAATGGTTTGTTTCCTCAGAGTGTGGCCAATCCATCTCCATTTCTTCCTGCCTATTTGTTTCACAGTCGGTTCCTGGTTGGTTCGCTCATTGCCAGAGATCCCTGTTGCTGATCTTTTTTAGGCGGCCATCTGATCTTGAGTAGTATTGAGGGAAGACAACTGTTAATGAAGGTCTGTAGTTTGTTTGAGATGCTCTTTATGACGCGCTGTGCAAGTCTCTGATCCACCCGTATAGTAGCACTGACTTCACATTGGAGTTGAAAATCCGTTCATCGTTGGAACAGTTTAATCAAGTCACTGATAATCAGTAATTATTGATTCTTCTAATCTGCAGAACTTCAACGAGACAGTCTACAGCATCTTCCTGCATGACTAGCGTCCAACAGCTGATGACTTATGCTTTTATTCTGACGACAACTAATACTGTTTTAGGCTTAGCTTAGTTTTAAATGCCTTATAGCAGGTCATTTCATCCGGTAGGGAATGTGGTGCAACAAACAGGTTAAAGAAGAATTGAATAACAAGATAGTCAGGTAGACAGCATACTCGTTCGGTCTTCTTATACAGGCGTTATCTTCGATGGTTGAAGACAGTTGGAAGGAAGTCCTGTCTGAACCTAGATTTCGTGCTGGTTACTACTCACTAGTCAGCATGGCGTATATGCAACCTCGAAGGAACTCATGTCCCTGCTTCTGAGATTCAAACCCGCGTCATCCAGTGGGGCTGTAGTCAGTCAGAGACGTTACCACTGAGTTATTCAAACTCGCGATTGACCTCCTGTAGGACTGTATTCGAGATTTTTTGATTGGGCATTAGTCTATAATTAGTGTAATGTATCTAGTCCTATTTTTGGTGCAGACTGAATTCTATCAATCAAGTTTGTAATGGATTTCCTTCAAGGTTGCAGATATGCTTTACTTACAAGCGCCATGCAGGACGAAACTTAGGTCCAAGACTTCCTGCCGATCGCCTTCAACCATCTAAACACAACAATGATGGTGATGGTGAGCCGTCTAGAATGGTGACCACATTACAAACTTGACTGATTGAATTCAGTCTGCACCAAACAGAGGACTATACACACGGCAGCAGTTACTGGCTAGTGTCCAATCAAAATGGGTGTTGTCTGTTTACTTGAAAAAGACAAAATTACGCATTAGTAAGAAGCCGGACCACTTGTAAGTGGAACATTTCATCAAACTACATGTTTGCTTTACGCTTTAATAAGTGGAAGTATTTCCGAGGATTTTATCTTTCAATACTTCATAGAAATGGTATTATGCAGATGAATTATTCCCAAGATAATCAATTTATGAAATAATGCCACTTACAGATAAGTTTATTTATCTCTTCGCTGAATTGACTGTTGACAAAAAAACTTTTATCGATCCTTGTTTTCTTTCTCTAAAGTAGCTTGAAATTTACACTGACTGGTGACTGGGGTGTGCGTCTAGTCCTCAGTGTTAGTGCTGACTAAATTCTACTAAGTAACGTTTGCAGTCTGGACAATTTGCTAACTGTCCAATAAAATCCTACAGGAGATCAACTGAGACCTCAAGTAGCTCATTAGTACCGTCTCCAACTGCAACTGTGCCTGACACGGGGTTGACATTATCAAATGGTCTTAAGCTTAATCCCCACCCCAAATGTTGGGTGGTCAGTTGTACTTTCAGATGCAAGCACGACTTCCATGTACTGCTTAGTTCTCACGGCTCCACTATCATTATTGGTACTGGAGTTGAAACCAAATCGAGTGTTAAGTACTTTCGACTGTGTATTTCCTCTGGTCACCTTTCCTTGTCTTCCCGCACCATGTTAGTTTCCAAAAAAAGATATTTCGTTTGACGTTCTATGTAAAGAAGTTAAGATAGTCTGGTATCACTCCGTCTCTACTGTCACAGTTTGTTAATTCTTGAATTCTGCTTATAGTTCTTTACTGTTCCCCCACCTTAATCCTTCCCGGGTTACATAAGAAAGACTTTGTTATACTGCGTAGGGCACTAAAAGCTGTTAGTGTTGCTAAACCAACTCGTTAATACTACTGCAGATAGACACCTGGATTCCTGAAAGAAATTAGCAAATACTATCCTGTCAGACTCTGAAAATCCTCTCCATACACAACTCTCTCCTGTGTATTTCATCGGGTAGGGGAACTAGATACAACCATAGAAGACTGTATGCTCAGACGACTAAGTACGAAATCTCTACAATACCTCATTTAGCAGACACACATTTTATCTGATGAGAAAAGCGTGTAAGACAGGAAATTACCAACATACTGGGGAACTCTAAGTAAGCGGCACTGTAGTTTTGTTCTCATTGTTACACTGCCGCTAAAATTCTCACCTGATTTAATTTTATACTCACTTATTATTATTGTATCCTTTAATTCCTAGAGGAACATAGGGTTTCAGCCATGTGTCTCCATTGCGTTCGGTTCTCTGCTAAAGTTTTCACCTGGCTACAAGTCTGCCCACACGTTTTCATCTCCGCTTCATATGACCCCCTCCAAGTCAACCTTGCACTGACGACCAACTCGCCGCTTCCCTTTCGGCCGGGTTCCACTCGAGCAATGGCTTGTCTGGTGATGTCACTTGATGGTTTGTTTCCTCAGAGTATGGCCAATCCATCTCCATTTCTTCCTGCTTATTTGTTGCATAGTCGGTTCCTGGTTGGTTCGCCCATTGCCAGAGATCTCTGTTACTGATCTTTTCTGACCGGCCATCTGATCTTGACTGGTATTGAGCGAAGACAGCTGTTGATGAAGATCTGTAGTTTGTTTGAGATGCTCTTTATGACGCGCCAAGTCTCTGATCCGTATAGTAGCACTGACTTCACATTGGAGTTGAAAATCCGGATCTTATTATCATTTTTCATGCTGAGTGCTGTTGATTTCCACACAGACTTGAGAGTAATGAGAGCTTGCCTTGCTCTTTCGATCCTCACTTTGACATCCTCGTCAGTTCCATCCTCCTGTGGTTGAAACGATGCTTCCGACGTAGGTCGGTAGGTAAAAGAGGTTGTTTCTTTCAGGTTCCTCCCATTTATGCTGATTGTCGTCTGTTGTTGTTGTTGCTGTTGGTGGTGTTGCTCGAGAATCTTCATCACCTCTGTTTTCTCTATGTTCACCTGAAGTCCTATCTTTGATGCTTCTTCTGCCAACTTGTTGCTTTTCGCTTGCATATCTTCGAGTTTGTGGGAAATCAGATATATATCATCGGCGAAGTCTAGATCCTCCAAGTTTTTTTGTGAGTCCATTTTATGCCTGTTTTCTCATTGCCCGCTCACTGTTTGTCGCATTATCCAGTCTACTGCAATCAGGAAAATCATTGGCGATAGTAGACAGCCAGCTTGTCTTACTCCTGTCCTCACTTCGAAGGATTTCGTAAGTTTCCCGTTGTGGATTACTTGGCATGCAGCACTGTCGTACGGCTGTTGGATGAGATGTATAATTGTCGGTGGCACCCAGTAGTAGCGAAGTAGTTGCCAAAGCACCGCTCCATCGACGCTGCGCTATCGAAGGTCTTTTCAAAGTCGATGAAGTTGAGATAGAGAGGTGACTACCATTATTATATTATTAATGTAAATTAGTATCAATGTTAATGCCCTACTTTAATTATTGTCCCCTGTAATAAGAAAATTAATTGCAATATTGTAATACACGCTGAAAATTCCATATTTGTACCTAAAGTACTGTTTGGAATAAAGCTATTATTATTCTTATTATTAAAATCATTATATGGAGCTTATATTACTTCAGTGTTAAAGATATATCTTCTTGACGATTGCCAGTAAGCTAAAAATGTGAACTTGCGGCTTCCAACAACCTCATAGCAGGTTGATAATCTGGTTAACATTTGTATAGCATTGCGCTGATGAATATTTGTCGTTCACATTGAATGAGAGTTACACTGTATTGTGAATTCAGTGAAATTGAGAAGTATGAGTTACTTTTTTGGTTCAGAGTAAGATTTCGGCGTCTGCTGAATGCTCGAAAGCCAGAGAACAGCTGTTAACAAAACGTTTAGGGATTATGGTATTGTTTCCCCATGATGTTAGATAGTGTCAGTAAATTTATTTGCTTTGCTTTACTTCGGCTATCTCCTACGGGAGGATGAGCCGGCTTCATGAACATCTCGAATCATCGCTGCCCAGGCGCGGCGATCTGATGCAAGGTTTTGCGACAGGGTTATCCAACTCTTGTTCCACAGACGGAGTCCGTAGACGGTTTGTAGCCCCAGGCACTCCATTTCAGCCTTGACTGTACCAAGCCATGTTTTCAGCTGTCCACCCCTGCGACATCGCCAAGATGGTAATGGCGAGGGATTTAGAACTGATTTGACCAGATCGTCATCTGGTGGGCGCAGAACATGGCCAAACCACCGAAGGCGACGTTGTTGGACCAGTACTGGAATTTGGTTGATGTTGTAGCAACGACGACGCACTTCTTCTTTGGAGAGTTTGTCCTGCCAACGAGCATGCAGAATGTACCTGAGGCACCAACGGTCTACTACCTCGAGTCTGCGTACATGAGAGTTCATGAAGTTTCATGGGAATTTGGTACGAGTGATGTCCCCAGAATCGCTCAGCCCTTTGTTTGAGAGTGCAGCTCTAGCCTTTACACAACCAAGTGTGACCTACAAGGCATTAGGAGTGGAGTAGGGAGTCCACTATCCATTGGCAGCCGGTGACCGGAGTTCGGTTCATACGCCTTTTTCAATGGGGCCAGACATCCAGGACATCCAACAAGCCCTTTGTCCATACGTCTGCCGGTGAGCTCCAGTGAGCTTCATACGCCAGTAGTTGGAGGTTTGGAATCAGGGTTTAACCATTTCCCCTAGACTGTCATCCAATGGACAGTCAACCCGGTGAAGAGCGCCGGGCATCCGCTTTCGCCCTCTCACTTTGGTGAAAAACACCTCCGCCACGTGAAGGCAGTGAGTAGGACTTCCTCAGGAGAGGCTATGTGAGATGCCCGGTCATATGGGAGCATTTCAAGAGGTGTGCGGAGGGGTGGCCAACCCGCAGCGCAAGGCACCCACCCCCCACCATCCTGAGGCTAAATATATTAATAACTCATATATTAGGTTGCCAATAGTAAATTCAATAAATTCATACTCTTGTACATGTCATTTAGGTATTTTATGATGGATGCATGAATATGCAAAAAATTATGGTTATGAATGACAGTTGCGTATTTCCTCAATTCGTATGAGGTTAGTTCTCACATAGGTCCCATTAAAATCCTCTTCAAACAGTGTGAATTCACCGAGTGAGACGAATAGAAATTCCACTAAAGCGAAATCCTACATATGTTTACTACGACAAATAACCGACAGAAGTAACTGGTATGGCCGACCCAATGTTGAAATGCCGAAAATTGAAAAGTTATCCACAGCTCATCGATTACTGACTATAGGAAGAAAATCCTAGAGTTCTAGTGAGAGGTAATGGCCTATTGTGTCCATCAAATCTGTTGTGAGAACGACTACTTACCAGTAATATTAGATGGGAGTGATGTCATACATAAAAACTGACAGGCGTTAGAATTCATGGATCTTTGCATTTTAACACAGTTACTGGATGGTATCGCGGTTGCGTCGTAAACTCAAAGTCCGGGGTTTGATGCTAGCTATGGTGGGCATTTGTGGCTACCTATGAATACTGTCAAAAACAGGGATAAGCAATTGTTGGGGTTCCCTATGATTTTAATTGGTTCTTCAAGTGGCGTTAGTTTTACAAGATAATTTCTGCTTTGAATCTAGCGCTAGACTTTGCCAGTCAGAAAGCTTCACTTTCTGAAGATTTGAGAACAACAATTCTTGGAGAAACTGAACAATCTATCTGCCGGAATCCAGTTTACTTAGGAATCAGAATTAGACGTCGGTAAACTACCATTTCTAGACTGGCTGTCTAGATAAGAGGAGGGAAAACAGACATTTTAGTATATCTATATTCAGGAAGAAAACCCACTCCCACAAAGATTTAGACTTTGGATCATCACATCCCATCAGTGCAAAGGTAGCAGTTGTTTCAAGTCTTCTTCGTCGAGCACACTCTGTGATTGGTAATGGATGAGAAAGAGAAAGAAGAAGAAATATCAAACATTACTGAGACTCTCAAGCAAAACAACTTCTCAAAGAACTTCATCAACAAAATCAACACTGACAATATGTGTGGTTGAAAACGCATTCCGAAAACAGGGACCTCAACAGTTGTCATTCAATAAAGATCAGAGACGTCAGACGACATCGCAGTTTACACCAAAACATCACACACACTGCGAAACAACCTTGTCCATATAAAAGAGCAAATCCCTAGAGATTTTCTATCTAATTGTGTCTATAAAATAAAATGCCTGCTTGGAATGTGAGAAATCAAAATAAGAAAAAATGAACACCGTAGAGCCGTATCTGTTCGACCACCGAGAAATCCAGTTGAACTAGACAAGCCTGAAAAATCATCAGCCAGTCCTGGCTTGTCAACACGCTATAGAATCAGATCAGGCCACAAAATTGACTTTGACAATATTGAAATCATCATCCAAAAAAATTTCAGAAATCATATGGAACGTCTCATTTCATCAGAAGCACTTCATCTCGAATGGAATCCAAATTGTCTGAATAGGAATGATGGACTAATAGAGAATTTGATCTGGTTACAACACCTGCCTCCCCCATGAAGTGACAAAATCAAGACGGATGTGATAATCAATTTCATCATATAAACACATGCTGCTTTTACAATTTTACACACTTATCAAATCGAACAATCTACACCTGGTTTTGTTATCTTTACCAGTTGGCCAATTCGACAACGCAAAATTGACCCCATGCTGAGGAACGATGATTAAGTTGTTATATATAAGCTGAGATTTTGTAAATTTCGGTTTAATATTACTACTTTGATAAAGCTATTAGCAGCAGCATTAAGTAGCGAAACATCAGTAAACACAAAAATATCGTTTTGCTTTTTTCATTCAATGGGAAATACAAAAACCTTTATTATACACTATTCGTTTCAAAGGACACTTTATCTCGGACAGTTCACATTATCAGGTTTTTCTATGTAGGTAGGTAACTGCTGTCGTTGGTACGGTGATTTAGTAAAACACTCACTATCAGTGTGTTAGTAGGAAGAAGCCGTTGTCACCAATCTCCTCCACAAGTCTAAAAGGACGCCGAGGTTATTGGTCTTCCGTAGACTTAGAAATGTAATCACCAATGATCATCATTACTTTAGTTACATCGCATTCATCTGTCAGACCAAATTTCTTAGTTTTTTTCTTATCAGTTCACTCGGTGTGTAACATTTCTCCTGAAAGCAACCGATGACAGGGGTGATAATTACTGAAATACATGCATGCGCCATCTCAGCTTTCACCACATCTTTTATCTCGGAGCTATGTGCCACATTTTCTGTCGTCAGACTGCCTTAATATCAACAACCATCCTGACGGTCATCCAAACATACTGTTTGCTTCTCAAGGAGAGTGTGCGTTTCAACGCCCATCTTCTACTGGCATCATCTATTTTTCATGGGGGAGTCATTGCATTGGAAGCGTTAGTTGTGATAAACAATGACGAACATAGGATTTCATCATGAACTGACACTGGTTAGAGAACCATTGGAAAACCCGCCACAGGGAGTACTGGACAGCTGTTTCGTCCTGGTTTGGGACTCTTCATCAGTATGCACCAATCGGGCTTCGAACTTAGGACCTTCTGGTTACAAGGCGAGCTCGTAGACCATTAAGCCACTGGGACCCGATCCAATGGCCGGCCCATGAATTCTAACTTCTGCCAATTCACAAAATAGCGCGACCCCTAGCCAATGTCTTCGGCGAGTATTTGTCCTCACACCCGACCTGCTACACCCTACTGGTCACGACTTATCACTAGAACCCCAGATAACTACCTACCTGAACAGGGCCAGTCGTTAGTGAGCATCTCATAGATATCCAAGTGTTGGTTTGTAGGAATTTGATTGGTTACATGTTAGCTCATGATGAAATCTTGTAACCAACCAAATCCCCACAAACCAACCCTTGAATGACTAACATAAGCAGCGACTACTACAGCAAACTGTATATACGATATCTCAATGCGTTTCTTCTCCTCAATATCAAACTCAGGCATGAACTGCTTATAGAGAGCCAATTGTAGCGACCGAAACCGACTTGTTGTGGTCTGAGCGCAGACAACAGATTCTTGAGTCCTATTGTATAGCTCTCCGAAACTTCCTTGACAAACGCATAGTCACAGAACGCTGCAAAGAAAGGAAAAAGACGATTGTTTGTGATTGTAATCTATCTGTGCTTCTTTTCAACAATAATGACATCAAACCTCGGAAATACCTCATAGTACTATTAAGCAGCTATACAGGCAATGCAGGTTTCTAAACACAAAGCAAGTGCGGTAGTACAAAGTTAGTCAGTTAACTAAAATTCAACTGTAGGCGATGTCTCGGGATCAAGTAGAATATTCACAACACGGTGGGATTGAAACTCTGTCCACAAGGGTGACATAGATCAACAATTCCTGAGGACAGTTGAAGGTCAAAATGACCTTGAATCAATCAAAATCACATTGTACAACACACTGTCAATGCGCACACAACCATAATGGGAAGCATTACATTAAAGAGATTAAACAGTGATCATTACAAATAATAGGGATCATATCAACATGTGTCATGCAAATGTCCAACACAATGTACTCACATTCTGATATTAAAGAGATTGTATTTAACAATGGATTGGTATCAATAAACAAATAAACGAAAAGTTTTATTAATTGGATTGAACATTGTACAATTTGAAGCATTTATCCGCTAATTCCTGTTGATTTCGAGAATTATTCACAGGAACTTTCAGCTTGCTCAGTTCACTGTCAATGATATCCTGTCTAGTCGATGCATCACTTGTATAAATCTTTCTCAATAGTATCTCCCAACTCTCACTATAATCATTATAGTCTTGTTCTCGTGTTCTACCGTCCACCGCCTTCAAGTAAACACTGTTGAACAACTCACTGTCAGGTTCTGAATACTTCAAGAAGGTGATTAAGCGTCCTAACAAGTTGTTAGCATCGTCGATAATGTTCGGTTTCAGTGGATTCTTAATCAAATAATCACTATCAGGATGATAATAAAAGGGATCTTGAAGGATTTCTTCGAGTCGATTTCTCAGGCTGATCAACCCCTTGATATCACGAAACAGTCCCAGCAAGTTAGAGCTGACTAGTTTTCTAGCTATCTTCTCTACAATCTCCGTTCTTTTCCAACCACTTGGTAAATGATTCAATTCATCTTTTACCTCTTGAGAAAACGGCAGTGTTCCAATACCAATCACCCTGACATATTTCAATGGATGTTTAAGTGTTTTCAAACAGATGAATACATTAAACACATGGATTCTTGATATCCACTGACCAGTGATCTTCATCAGCATAATCCTGTCGGATTCACTGTCTATGCCATACTGATTCCACCATGCCTTCTTTAGTATTCGTGCAGCATAACTGCTGTTTTTATTATAGTCAGTACTCGTCTCCAATGGAGCATAGCGATTATTTTGATAAAAGTTGACAACACCGGCTATCATCACTTGTAAACATGCCTCGGTCATTTTTGGTTGGATAACAGTTTGCATTTCTGATTCACTTGCTAAATTTTCTTTTGTCCATGTCCCATAGAACCAGTTGCCATCGGCTTCATCAATTGAAATAGAATCTGGAAGAGCAACAGACTCAACTGTTGTTTCACTGCGTTTCTCTTCGGATCGCGGTATTTCACCAATGAGACTGAAGATAATTGCTGTACTGGCTGCATTAGCTAGCCATACTTTCATCGCTTGTGAATACCCTGTACCAATCGTTTTATAGGCATAAGAAGCAGCACATCCAGCCACAATTGACCATATTCGTCCAAGCTCGTGTATTTCGCATACTTCCGATTTTGGAAAGTAGTCTTTATCAAGCATTAGGTGGAATTTTTTAGGCAGCAACGGTTCATGTTCACTGGTTGGATCAGATTCAAATTGCCAATTAACTTTTGACAATTGATTTAATATTTGTTTACCCAATACATTAATAATTCCATGTACACCTGAACTGGATTGTCTATCCTAAATGAAATAAGAAAAGGAAGCAAATTGATTGACAGGTTAAAATTTATTTCAAAAGAATGGATCGGTCGGTCGGTCGGTTTTCGACATAGAACTTTGCACATATGTGCGGCAGTTCAAGTCGCCACACTCCCTTCATGTAGCACACAAAGCAAGAGAAGAAAGTAGAAGAAATGCATATTAGAGACAGTAAACAGAGGTGTGAGACAAAGGAATAGTAATAACGGAGAACAAAACAGTTTCATTGGAAATCATAAGTCACAAGGAGTGGATGCATCTGCGCCAGTCATTGAGAACGATTTTGAGCCATGTCACCAATTGTTTCCAACTATTGGTTTTTACCGTCCCGAGGACCCCAACCAGTGAGGAAGTCTACACCTTCCTACGTGGCTTAGACTAACTGTTGTGGATTTCATTGACTGGTGCCATGTTTTCGTTTGACCACCGCTAGCTATTTTCCAGCCTGGCCCTGTGTCACCTAACATTGCCCGGCGAGGAAGGCGGTGACTAGGCATACGTAACACATGTCCCAACCATCTCAGTCTATGTAATTTCACAGTCTCATCGATTGATTTCCCCGCCTTACCTAGCACTTGACGCCTAACCTCAAAATTGCTCACCTTATTACACCTACCACTTCACACGGGAGATAGAACGCAGACACCTATGATCGAACACAGCTAATCTTTTCATGTCTTCCGCTCTCAATGGCCAGGTCTCACAGCCATAAAGGAGGACGGAGCGGACTGATGAGCAGTACACAAACCCTTTGGTCGATAGTCGGATATTACGTCTACCAAGCCATAGACGGCGTAAAGTGGCATATGCGAACCTAGCCCTCTGTATTCGTGCTGAGATTTCGTCTGAGATCAACCCGTTGGCGTTGGCTGACGGTACTTCCCAAGTAAGTGAAGTGGTCAACGTGCTCTACCACTCCACTTCCTATTTCTAATCTAGGGGTCGGTGAAGTCCAAGCCTGCAGCATCATCTTACATTTTACAGGGGCGAATCGCATGCCAAACATTCTTAGATTGCAGCTCAAGGTGTTCAGTAGACTCTGCATTTTGTCAGCGTCCTCGCCTAGAAGGACTATATCGTCCGCATATTCTAAGTCAACGAGATTCTTCCCTGGTAGCAAGTCAATCCCTGAGTCGCTGAAGTGTGTTAGGGTTAAGTCCATTAGTACGTCTATGATGAAGTTGAATAGGAATGGGGATAATGGGCATCCTTGACGGACGCCACTAGTCGTCACCATTTCAGATGAGAACTTGCTGTAAGCCCTCACCTGGCTGCATGAGTACGAGTAGAGTGCCTTAATCAGTGCAATGTATTTTCTCGGCATTCTGTTTACAGCCAAGCATCGCCAGAGAACCTCCCGGTCGACAGAATCGAATCCCGCCTTTAGGTCAAGAAATATAGTGATTGTTGGACGCCGATGGACGGCGATGAAAGTATGGCTAGCTAATGCAGCCAGTACAGCAATTATCTTCAGTCTCATTGGTGAAATACCGCGATCCGAAGAGAAACGCAGTGAAACAACAGTTGAGTCTGTTGCTCTTCCAGATTCTATTTCAATTGATGAAGCCGATGGCAACTGGTTCTATGGGACATGGACAAAAGAAAATTTAGCAAGTGAATCAGAAATGCAAACTGTTATCCAACCAAAAATGACCGAGGCATGTTTACAAGTGATGATAGCCGGTGTTGTCAACTTTTATCAAAATAATCGCTATGCTCCATTGGAGACGAGTACTGACTATAATAAAAACAGCAGTTATGCTGCACGAATACTAAAGAAGGCATGGTGGAATCAGTATGGCATAGACAGTGAATCCGACAGGATTATGCTGATGAAGATCACTGGTCAGTGGATATCAAGAATCCATGTGTTTAATGTATTCATCTGTTTGAAAACACTTAAACATCCATTGAAATATGTCAGGGTGATTGGTATTGGAACACTGCCGTTTTCTCAAGAGGTAAAAGATGAATTGAATCATTTACCAAGTGGTTGGAAAAGAACGGAGATTGTAGAGAAGATAGCTAGAAAACTAGTCAGCTCTAACTTGCTGGGACTGTTTCGTGATATCAAGGGGTTGATCAGCCTGAGAAATCGACTCGAAGAAATCCTTCAAGATCCCTTTTATTATCATCCTGATAGTGATTATTTGATTAAGAATCCACTGAAACCGAACATTATCGACGATGCTAACAACTTGTTAGGACGCTTAATCACCTTCTTGAAGTATTCAGAACCTGACAGTGAGTTGTTCAACAGTGTTTACTTGAAGGCGGTGGACGGTAGAACACGAGAACAAGACTATAATGATTATAGTGAGAGTTGGGAGATACTATTGAGAAAGATTTATACAAGTGATGCATCGACTAGACAGGATATCATTGACAGTGAACTGAGCAAGCTGAAAGTTCCTGTGAATAATTCTCGAAATCAACAGGAATTAGCGGATAAATGCTTCAAATTGTACAATGTTCAATCCAATTAATAAAACTTTTCGTTTATTTGTTTATTGATACCAATCCATTGTTAAATACAATCTCTTTAATATCAGAATGTGAGTACATTGTGTTGGACATTTGCATGACACATGTTGATATGATCCCTATTATTTGTAATGATCACTGTTTAATCTCTTTAATGTAATGCTTCCCATTATGGTTGTGTGCGCATTGACAGTGTGTTGTACAATGTGATTTTGATTGATTCAAGGTCATTTTGACCTTCAACTGTCCTCAGGAATTGTTGATCTATGTCACCCTTGTGGACAGAGTTTCAATCCCACCGTGTTGTGAATATTCTACTTGATCCCGAGACATCGCCTACAGTTGAATTTTAGTTAACTGACTAACTTTGTACTACCGCACTTGCTTTGTGTTTAGAAACCTGCATTGCCTGTATAGCTGCTTAATAGTACTATGAGGTATTTCCGAGGTTTGATGTCATTATTGTTGAAAAGAAGCACAGATAGATTACAATCACAAACAATCGTCTTTTTCCTTTCTTTGCAGCGTTCTGTGACTATGCGTTTGTCAAGGAAGTTTCGGAGAGTTGATGATAATTGTCGAACTACTCATAAGTAGTATACCGTTCTATGCGAATTTTGAGGCTTCATTTTCTGTGAACAAGTGGTAAAATACTGGACAGTAAATAAGAGCTATTTCGCTCCTTTATTATTATTATTTATTGTTTCCTTTAGTTCCTGGAGGAACAAAAGGCTTCAACCGCACGTCTCCATTGCATGGAGACTCCATGGAGCCCATGGAGTAAATGGGCTCCAGAATCCAATCGGATCAAATGGCGTACGAACCCATATGGGTCACCGGCAACCATGGGAACGCAGCACCTGACGCTGCTCCGCTGCCTTGCGGATTAGACTCCAAGTCAAAGGCTCGGGGGGTGGTCCCTTAATAAAACCACCTGCTTCGGTCTGGGCGCCCGGGCAGTATCTCAGCCCGCACACAATGAATGAATTGAAACAACGAACTCCCATTGAAACTCAACGCGCGCTAGTAAAAATGATCCCAAGCAATACTGATCCCTCAAGCAACTTATTTCCTTCCTATCTTACTTTTACTTTTACACATAGTTTCCTGTATTTTACCTTTTCTAACCTTGGCTTCTTAACCTTCGACAGCCTTTCGCCTTTGTCGAGATTCCCAGCCTATCCGTGTCGTTTCGAGATGTTAGTGAGTAGTCCTCAAAATGGTTGTTCCCAATGTGACTTCTAACACAGATATCCTGAAACCGCGTACTGCGTTCAAGCTGGCTACCTACAATGTTCGGACGCTGATGCAAATCGGACAACAGGCAGGGTTGGCAAGAACTTTGGAAAGCCTCGCTATCGATGTCTGCTGCATTTCGGAGACCCGCATTCAAGATCCCAGTGAAGTGCTTCGACTGTCCTCTCCATCTGGAAGTTCTAGTAGTATGTACCACCTGCGCTTATCCGGGGACCCTGTGGCATCAGCATCCAGCGTAGCTGGTGTCGGTGTCGCACTGAGCGCTAGAGCCGAAGCTGCACTGCTCGACTGGATTCCCATTAACAGTCGTTTATGTGCTGTGAGGCTGGAAGGATATACGAAAGTAAGGAGTAGTAGGCCAGATAGGCGGTGTCTATTTGTTGTCTCTGCCTATGCACCGACGGATTGCAGCCCGGATGCAATGAAGGATGAGTTTTACTACCAACTGAGCGATCTGTTAAAACAGGCGGGTCGGAGGGATATCGTAGTGCTAGCTGGGGACTTGAATGCACAGGTCGGGCGTCTAAGCTCAGAGGAGAGTCGTCTAGGTGGTCAGTGGGGACTACATGGTCGCAGGTCAGATAATGGGGACCGTCTTCTGCAGCTTTGCGCGGATCACAACCTATTTCTAGCCAGCACCAACTTCCGGCACAGCCATCGCCGTAGCGCTACCTGGCGCCCTCCCTCTGCGAAGCAAGCTTGGACTCAGATTGATCATATTGCGGTCAGTTTCCGGTGGCGAGGATGCATACAAGACTGTCGCTCCTTCTGGAGCACATGCCTGGACTCCGATCATGCGTTAGTGTGTGCCAAGTTCGTCTTGCGATTTGGTGGGGTTCGTAAAAACCGTCGTCTAAGCGTTGATGTGAGCAAACTAGTAGCACCTGCTACTTCTTTGAAATATCAGAACGAGTTGAAAACAATGCTTGCCAGCAACCCCCCAAGTAGTATAGATGAACACTGGCTTCATGTGCATGGTGCCATGCAAAAGGCGAGTGTAGCCGCTTGCGGCTTGAAAGAATGCTCCGCTAACAACCACTGGGTTTCTGCGAGTTCCTTGCAACTCATGGATGAACGCCGGTCCATTCCGGCTGGCAGTGAATACAACAATCAGCGAAAGGCGCTCAGGCGCAAGATTAGACAGTGTTTACGTAAGGACCGCGAAGCCTGGTGGTCAGAACGTGCGTATGAGATGGAGTCAGCTGCTGCATCTGGCAACAGTCGGAAGCTGTTCCAACTCATACGAGCCACCGGCAGCAAGAAACAAGGTGTCAGCGAGACGGTCTGTGAGGCAGATGGCACTCCAATTACCAGCCTGAAGAGACGCCTGGAACGCTGGGCAGAGCACTTCGGGAAGCAGTTCAGCTGGCCACCAGCTTCATTGTCCACTATCATTAGCCCGAGTGCTCCTTGGTCGGTTAGTACCGACCCACCCACCGAAGCGGAGGTCCGTAAGGAACTCCAAGTTCTGAAACGCCATAAGGCGCCCGGCCCAGACAAATTACCCCCGGCTCTTTTTAAAGATGGTGGCGAGACTCTCATAATGGCTCTAACTGGGTTGTTCAGGAGGGTGTGGGAGACAGAGAGCGTACCATCAATGTGGAACGAAGCCATTATCGTCCCCATCTTTAAAAAGGGTCGACGTAATTCGTGTGACAACCATAGGGGTATCAGTCTGTTACCAGTTGCGTCTAAAATATTGGCTGCTGTCATGCTTCGCAGACTGTGCAAAATACGCGAAGGATTGATTCGCGAAGAGCAGGCTGGGTTTCGTTCAGGTCGTGGATGCATTGATCATGTGTTCACCCTTCGTCAGTTGTTAGAACACCGCCACACGTATTGCAGGCCAACGATCGTTGTGTTTCTTGATATTAGGGCTGCCTTCGATTCGTTGGACAGAACTGTGCTCTGGAACTGTCTGTTAGAGAGAGGTGTACCTGAGAAATTTGTTAACATCTTGAAAGCCCTATAGAGAAACACCTCATGTAGAGTGAGGCAATACAACCAACTATCACCACTGTTCCCAACCAACAGTGGGGTTAGACAGGGTTGCCCAATCTCGCCATTTCTCTTTAACTTTGCCATCGATGACATTCTGGAGTCAGCTCTGAAGGATGTGCGTGAAGGTGGTGTAGATCTGCTACCTGGAGATAGACTTTTCGACCTCGAGTATGCAGACGATATCGTCTTACTATGCGATAGCATGCAGGCTGCCCAAATCGCACTTAATCAGTTGGCGATCAGTGTCTGTAAGTATGGTATGTGCTTTGCGCCGTCTAAGTGCAAAGTACTGTTACAAGATTGGCAGGAGCCTGTACCTGCACTCACTCTTGCGGGTGAACCGCTTGATGTTGTTGATAAGTTTGTGTACCTAGGTAGTTGTGTGAGTGCTGGCGGAGGGGTGACGGATGAGATTTCCAACCGTATAATGAAAGCTAGGGTGGCATACATCAACTTGAGCCACCTCTGGCGCCGTCGCGACGTTAGCCTGGCTGTCAAAGGTCGGGTATACAATGCTTCGGTGCGGGCTGCGCTGCTCTACGCCTGTGAAACCTGGCCTCTCCGAGCTGAGGATGTGAGGCGACTCTGCGTGTTCGATCACCGCTGTCTCCGCACGATTGCTTGCGTTCGATGGCATCATCGCGTGAGTAATTCTGAGGTTCGGCGGCGTGTGTTTGAACACAGTGGAGATCACCATTCATTGAATGTCGTCATCTGGAAACACCGGCTCCGGTGGCTTGGACATGTGCTGCGAATGTCACCCCAAAGGCTTCCGTACAGGTCTCTGTTCGCTAGCCCTGGGACGGGATGGAAAAGGCGGAGAGGTGGTCAGCCCATGACGTGGCGCCGTGGGATGAAGGATATTTGTGCTAGATTAGCATCGGTTGGTGTATCACGACTCCCTGGTTGGGGTCTGAGAGATAGCTCAAATCGATGGCTCGAAACGTTATCGGATATGGCCAAGAATCGTAATCAATGGCGAATGTGTTGCGATTTCCTTCTTTCTTCCATTCCCGATGATAGTTAACGAACACTGTTTGAACCTGTTAAGAATGAGTGTTTTCCTTCCAGATGAAGTTCATTATTCGTTCTCTACTTATATATATTTTTTCTTTTCCTGCCTTCCTTTTTTTTCATCTATGTTGTTTTATTATTATTGTGTGGCGCATCCTTCTTGGTGCCATATTGTACCAAGCTTTAATGCGTTTAAATAAATAAATAAATAAAAAACTCCATTGCATTCGGTTCCCTGCCAACGTTCTCAACTGGCTCCACGTCTGCATAAATGCATGCATCTCCTCTTCTCATGACCTCCTCCACTCCATGTCACCCTCGCACTGACGACCAACTCGCCGCTTCCTGTTCGGGTTCCACTCCAGCGATGGCCTGGCGTGTGATGTCGCTCACTTTATGGCTTGTTTTCTCAGAGTACAGCCAATCCACTTCCATTTCTTCCTGCATATTTGCTGCACGATTGGTTCCTGTTGGGTTGATTCGCTCCCAGAGATAACTATTGCTGGTCTTTTCTGGCCGGCCATCTGATCTTGAGTAGTATTGAGCGAAGACAACTGAAGGCGATGAAGGTGTGTAATTTGTGTGAAGTGTCTTTCGTGATGCGGTGCCAAGTCTCTGATCCGTGTAGTAACACTGACTTCACATTGGATCTGAAAGTCCGGATCTTATTTTTCATGCTGAGTGCTGTTGACCTCCACACAGATTTGAGAATAATGAAAGCTTGCTTTAC